TGCATGTAACATTTGTCAAACATTCTGTCCTTGCCTAAGTCACAACACCCCAGATACTGATAACCAAAAATTAAGATGTTATCCTATTGAATGTTAATATTTACTGAGATATTCCTTGCTCATCTCCAAAAGAAAATGTACTGTAGTTTTTATCCTGTGAGACTTGCATGTATTTTTCTTTCCAGAAAAATGTATACCTCTGTGTAATTTTCAAAATCTGGGGCCTAGTTTAAAAGGGGGGGAGTGTGCATACATGCAATGGTAAATACAGTAAAGTTTAAGAAAGACCCTCGCCCTGGTACCCAAGAAGCACAGGTGCCAAGAAGCCGGCAGGAGCAGCAGGGGGGGAGCAAGTTGTGCGTGAGAGTGCAGGGGGGAGGGGATAGATGGAGCAAGGAGCAAAAGAGAGCCTCGTGCGCAGACGCAGGCCATGCGCGCGCGTGTGCGTGCTGTAATACGCGGATTGGATGGGGGGGAGGCGGAGGGGAGGAAGGTTGGGGTAAGGTTATATTTTATATGTTCGGCGGTGTGTGGGAACCTGGTCCGGACCCGGGTTCCCACGCTCTGAGTCGGAGGCGCGGAGTGGGGCGAGAGAGAGAGGACACAAGGCAAGAAGAAGAAGAAGGAGACGCGGCTCATCTCTTGGTGGTGGTTGCCCTCCCCTCCTTCCCTCCATTCCGCACAGCTGTGCTCTTCCTTGCTTGTTCTTTCTTCTTCTTCTCTCCCCACCCGTTCCTTCTTGACACTTCCTTTTCCTTCCCTTCTTTCTCTGGTTACTCTGTGTGTGCGTTTCTGTACCTCCTCTATTTTTTTGGGTCTCCACGTGTGCGCGCGCGCGCATGTGTTCTGCTTGTGCGTGTGTGTGTGTGTGTATATTAGTCTATGGTGGTGTAGGAGGCTGGTACAGAACTCATATTCGCTTGAAAATGTTCCTGGATTTTTCTATTACTGTACAGTATTCTGTACTGAGATGAATAAAATCTGAGCCTGGCTGCGAATAAAAATACTGAAGAATAAATAGTTGCTACTCTTCTTTCATTCATTAATAGATGATACTCTGTTACTTGAGTTCACTGGGGCAAAAACCTATCTCAATGAAGTCTTATCCTGAGTGAGATTTAAAGTGCCAAATGGATTGCTGCTTCTGCTTTTTCCTTTGCCTTTACAGTACTTTGTTGTGGGTTGTGCTTTATACTTGCTTGGAATAACTCTTGGAGAACAATTTATAAAATGTACAACTTATGGGAAAAGGACATGGACAGACATCATTAGATAGATGAGGTCATTCCACTGTAATCATTAGGTTCTATTTTTCCAGATTGTATTGCTGAATCAAATTCTGTTGGATCATCAGAAGTCTTCTGAATGCCAACCGTTGCACCAGGTGTTGACATCAGGATGGTTTGGTAATCTGGTAGAATAGTGTGGAACCTGATGAAGGTTCCTTTGTAAGATTAAAAAGTGTAAAATAATTATGCCTAAGTGCCTTTAAAATTGCGAAAAGATCACTCTTTGTCAATTCCTTTAAATGTATTCATGAAATATTCATATTCAGTTGGATGCCTATGATTCAACCTCAGAGAAAATTTTAAAATGTACTTCTGAGCTTATAATAGTGAATTTCTTGAAACGTACATTGGAAAAATTACAAGATCGTAATTATTATTAATAATCTGGACTCCAAACTGCTGAGGGAGGCAGCTGACAGGGCGCTGACCTTCAAAGCAAGCATGCATTTTGTAAATTACAGTACTGTACACTGTCATTCTAAAAAAGAAAAGAATTCATGCAGAAACTGCAATAATTCAAAAAATCTAAATTTCGACCCAGAGAGTTTTGCTTTCAGTAACATTCAAATTTCAATTCGACCACAAACAGCATACACAGTAAAGTAGATTTACCCGCGAATATCCGCAGCTACCTCTACACCGCTCACGGCGGCGGAATTAAGTTCCAGAGCCGCGCCGTTCCCACGATCCGCTCAAGCCCCAAGCAAACAAAAAACGAAGTAAAAAAAAGAGTCCTCCTTCAAGGTACAAAAAATAATTCCAAAATAGAAAAGTAGGAATAAACTGAAACCGGTTCTTCCCTTTTTTTCTCTCTCCTGATCTCCTGACATCCCGCACAGTGAGAACAATCGGATTCCGGAACGTGACTGGGGGAGGGTGTTCGCGTAAAAAAAAGAAAACACGGCTTGTGATAATGAGGAATAGAAAGAAAAATACGACGAAAAGCGGTGGAAAAAGAAAGAAAAAAAAAACCATGGAAAAAACGTATGACACGAATAAGAATGAAGGAGCCCGAGACAAACAAACGCGTGCCCGACGATGTCACCCGAGATAAAGACACCGGCAAGAGCGCGTTCCCACGGCTCCCAAGAATGTCATGGCAGAGGGAAAAAAAATAAAATAAATATGTACTGTATAAGATATACGTTATAAGAAAAATGAAAAACAACTTGCTGAGAGACAGAGAGGAGTAGAGAATCTTCCCCCCCCCCTTTACAGAAGCAGATTTCTACTCCATGGGATCCAGTATCTTGAAGACATTTAGTACTGAACGATGAGGCATTAGTCACCAACGGATACACTTCAGCAGAATCTCATTTTGACAAAACCAGTGGGACTCGCGGAAAAAGTATTTCCCTTAAAAGGGCAAAAATTGTCTTCTTTGGATTTTCATCAAGAAACCCAAAAGAAAGCATGAATTCTCATCCATGGGGTTTTAGTAACTTAGAAACTCTGCAGTGAACACTTTTACACATGTCATGCTGCAGTATATGGATGTACAGCAGCCAAATCATTTTACAAAAAAGCCTTTGGGGTCTCAATGTATAAAACTTCAGCAATAATGAAGTACAGCAAGTTATTTGGAGATTCAAATAAAATGGTTGCTAACTTTCAGGGAATTTGTATCACTGCAACATGTTATACAAAATATTTTTGTTAACAAGATTCACTCACTGTCAATATATTTATAATTTAAATCAAGTAGGGTACTGTAGTCTTTAGGAAACAACATATCACTGGAAATTTTACTATAATACTGTACACTGCAGTATAGAAATTCAACAATCTGATTTTCAATGATCCACTCAAAGCATACAGAAGAAATACACACAAAAGGAGTCAGAATGGAAACAAATGTACATACTGTACAATTGATAATGAAATTAGAGAGTATCACAAAAAAGGGAATGCTGTAATCAAGGGAAGGAGTGAAACACTTGATCCTTAATTAATTTTGACGCAAGCCAAAAAAGGTGTTAACCAGATCATAGAAACCTTTTCCACATGAAATATGATTTAAAGAATTCCCCAAAGATATAATACGGAATTGCATGGTATTTTACAGTGTAAAGTTTTTTTTTTATTTAATCAGAGGAGCAGATAAAAAATTTAAGATTAACCTCTCTCTTCACCAACTCAATCATTCTTTGTTTCTGTGTCCATCAATAATTCAGTACTCTAAAGATATGTCCATATTTGAAGCCAGATCCCCAAACACAGTTCAATTTGTCAAGTTGTAAACTATGTTTTGAGCATTGTACTGATGGAAAAGCATGGTTTCATTTGAGACAGATAACCCTTTGTTTCTCAGCAGACAAATCCAAGACCTACCTTCATTAACAAGGTGCTGTATTTTGATTCCACCAGTATTTTTTGTTCCATTTTTGGATTTTACTCAGGGATAGTGACAATCACATGAGCATTATTGTAACAAATATTGCCAAAAGCTCCACCCAAATATTTTGTGAAGTTTCAAATCTTTGAATTGATGCATTGCTAGTACAGTATATTAATTTCACTTGAATCATTTATCTGAAAATTTTGTTATGGTGAATATCCAACATCAGAGTCACTTTTCCTCATTTAAAAATATCATAATGCAGAATATTTGCTCACCAAAACATTTGTAATGTTTGGGCATTCCTACTGGACTTAGTCTCACATTGCGCAGGCACCAACAAAAAAACAGTATATGCCCTTATGTAATTTGCAAAAAACATGAGCATTGCAGAAAAAACACCCACTGTACAGGTGGTACCTTGAAATTGGACGTCCCACAATTTGATGGTCACATTTTCAGGGAGGTTGACTTGCAGTTCAACCCTTGCCCCACAATTTGACCTGCTTTGACCACGTTTCTTGTGTGTTTTGTACTTATATTTTTGAATTTCATGGAGTGCCTAGCAATTTGACCAGTTCACAATTCAACCCTAGTTTGGCAACGGATCAGGGTCAAAATGCAAGGTACCACCTGTACTGGAATTAATGTTAATAAAAACCCAGGTACTTTATAAATGTATTCCTGTACATTGTACTGAAATTAATGTTTAAAAACCCCAGGAACTGTGGTATATGTACAGTGAATGGGTCTGAAAAATAATACCAATTTTCATCCACCCCCCCACCCCCGCCCATTTTCTCCCCGGGGAGTCATCATCCTCCTTTTCTTCCACATCATTAACCCCACTCCCAGGCGTCAACGGTTTTTCAGTCAGCTTCTCCAACCACTTTAAAAAAAAAACATAATCTCCTCCACGACGTCTGAGAGAAGAAGAAGAAAAAGAAGAATAATAAATTCACGCCTTGTCAGAGAGAGAGAGAGAGACGCAATTAGGTATATAGGTGCCAACACGCGGGGGTCGGGATAAGGAGAACGAGCCTTGTGGTGGTGGTGGAATCCCGGCACCGTGGGAACAAACGCAGGTGCAAAGCCTCCATTCCACACACACACACACAGACACACACACACACGCGCAGCCTGCGGGCGCGAAAGGACAACAAGCTGCAAGAGACATACACACACCCACACGGAGAAAAAAAAAAAAAAAAAAAAAAGCGGGCGATAATAACCGCTACTATACAGTACAGTATAACATAGCGACAGAGAGATCGAAAGAAGAAAAGAAAAAAAAAAGCAGGAGCGGAGGGGACGCGATACCCGGACCCAGAGAGTGACTGGGCGCAGGAGATAAGGGCAACAAATGCCGGCGCATGCCGTGGATTAGTATTTGCTCATTCCCCGGCGGCTCTCACGCTTCCCCGTTCCCACGCTCGGCGGCCCGTGCCGCGGCGACGGCGGCGGCGGCAGCGAGGAGGGGAGGGCGTCCCTTATCCCCTCCGCGCCTCCCAAGGATCCCGCGCAGGCAGGCAGGGGATAGAGAGAGAGAGAGAAAAAAGAAACGAAATAATAACGACGCGCAACCGGCCGCCTGGCACCCTCCCCGTGCGCAGGTTTGCCAGGTGTACGGTAGTGTCCGCGCATGCGCGAAACCATCCAAATCTGTTCCTTTACTTTTTATTTTGCTGGGCGAATTTTGAACAAGATTTTCCTTGACATATTAATGAAAAATATCAAATTCGATTTCCAGACACTCACAAAATGAATCTCGACATATTTCTGAATTCTAATCCCTTGTAAATTAGCGGGCTATTTGGATTGAATTATGACTTTAAAATTGCTCAAATCCACGGACAATATTAAACGATCTATTTATGAATACCTGAGCGAGATTTTTTTGAAATTCATAACCAATTTATTTCTGCGTCAAACTGGCATCTTCCAGAGGATCCTGTGGCTATAAAAAGTATAAAAGAAAAACAAATGCTTCAGAAATACATTCAGCCCTTGATTCAAAAAGCCCTCCATTTATTCTCATACTCTGTGAGAATGCCAAGAAATGTGCAGAATTGGGTGGCGGTACTGAGAATACGTTTGATTGTTTCTATCGCGGAAAAAGGATCCCTGGAAAAGTTTCGCAAAAAAAGTTATGTTTGGTGGTGATTTATTTTATTTTGGAGATCCCCAAAACAGGTCAAATGTAAGGTCCTTAATTCATTTTTTTTTCTTTGCATAAGCATGAAGCAGAATCGGCATTTGAGTGAAGTGCTGAAGTTAATTTACGCTATGTGCTTGGAAGGTTCTCACCTGAGTACCATGCCCTGTCGTGCCCGCTTCCACCTCGCACTCAACACGTACACGCGCGTCTCGCACCTGGCAACACTGCACACGCCGATGCACGGGGCTTCGCATGCCTGTACACCCTCAACGGCTCGAGCTCCGCAGGTTCAGTTGATCACTGACTCTCACAGCGAGAACGTCTGAGTCTTGAGGAAAAGTCTTGCGTCCTGACTGACGGAGCCTGTCTCTGAAAACAGAAATCAAAGTTATATTGAAATACGAAAAAAAAAAAAATTCGTCATGACTTCTGTGGAGTGCATGGAACAACCCATGTCGCGTACTTACCAGTACCGGAAAGTGATGAAGCCGTTGCTGGAGCGGAAACGCCGAGCGAGAATTAACCGCTGCTTGGATGAGCTCAAGGAGCTCATGGTTGGTGCTTTGCAGTCCGAAGGAGAAAATGTGGCCAAACTGGAAAAGGTCAGTACTTCACAAGTGTTCCAGTGTAGTTTCTGATTGACAAAAACATGTGGAAAGTGACTTTGCCAAATGAATTTGCACTTGTTGGTGTTCACAAATTAAATTTTAAGGTAAATTGTGAGTTGAAGCATAACTGGCATGTCTGAGAGTTTCCTGTGTGACAGTGGTTGACATGGAGTTATTAGAATGTAATGCAAATGAGTGGAGTTTACCAATAATTTATTAATTTTAAATCAGTGACTGGCTTATTCCAAAAAAATATGTCATTGAGACCATTAGTAGGTCTGTAAAATTGTATACCAATTAGTAGGGAGCCATGTGAGTTGAGTGATCAGTCTTGAATGAAGTAGGGAGCTAAACCATAAATGACATGTCTGGAGGGTTTTCCCCAGCAACCATCAAGCATTTGTAAAAGCTCAATGGAGTCCATGGAATTAGGCTTTCTTGAACGCATTGCAGTGGAAAAGTCCGGGGTTCTAACTGGATATTCCTTTTTGTCTTTTGCAAAAATAGGCGGACGTCCTGGAATTGACAGTGAAATACCTGCGGAAGCTGAAGCTGCAAAACCGCCTGGGAACGTGTGTGCCAGAGTCCACCAGCCCTGTGCCACCGGTGGACCGGTTCCGCGCAGGCTTTACCCAGTGCGCGACAGAAGTGAGCAAGTGCCTGACGACGATCCCGGGGCTGGACGTGAGCCTGGGCACGCGACTCATGACACACCTCGGCCACTGCGTCAACCAATTGGACGTGACGGTGCAACAGCCCAAGTGTCCGGACACCCCGCCCATGTCTCCCGTGGGGGCTGGGTCTGGAGGCGGGCCCGTGACGCTGGCTCCGCCCGCGCAGCTCTTCCATCATTTGCGACACACGTACGCGTCGCCTGCGCCTGCTTACCTGCTCACGCCTGTTTCAGCGGACGAGGATGCCGCGAGTGAACGGGTTTGGCGACCCTGGTAGTGTCGTCGGCCAGTTTGCCGAAATTATTTGTTTCATTTTGTGATGCCCGGCGTTTATACAATTATTGCTAGTATTGCTTGAATGTCATGATGTTTTGATAATGATGTACGGAATGATGGAGCAAACAAAGCATGCCATTTCATTACTGCGAAAAAGACCTTCGTTGATTTACTTTACCCACCTTCGTCATTACCCGCCCGCTCTTACTCCTTACTTCTACAAGATTACCGAATGGCGTCATGGAGCAAAGTAACTGTCAAGACTTTGGATCAAAACACTTACGAGGTTGATGCAAGTGGGCTGAAAACTGTATCCGAATTTAAGGCGAAGCTGGAGACCATATTGGGGCCAGATACGATTCCCGCTGATTCAATGCGCATTATCAATAATGGACAAGTTAATATCTTAGATTTTCGTGATTTTCTTCGTTATAAAAGGGTGTCATTTTCATGATTAGATTATGTCTGACGATAATGCTCTGTTGGGGGACCTGAAAGTGGACTTGAAAAAGCCCTTCCTTGTTATGATGACGCGGGCGAAAACTGCGCCGGTGTCCGCATTGCCACCTGTCCCGAATGCGGAAAAGTCACCGATGACTCGCTCAGAACCACTTGGACAGAGGTCGCACGTAAGATTGCGATCCTCCATCAAATGTACTGTACTCTAATTCGAAAGAAACCTGCCTTTTATCAGCTTATTCAGGGTCAAGTAACTACTTCCGGGAATTCCGTGTCCGAACCCACGTATTCGCGTTCAACCGAAAGACAACGGGAGTCGTATATTAGGGCTTTCAAGGTCATGCAGCAGGGAAGCAGCGGTATTCGGGATAACAGCGACACCTCGGTATCAGTAACAGGACAAGGAACTACTTCGCAGCCTGATACGTCCGTAGAAGCCTCTGTCGACAACGCAGATCCCCCGTTGATTGTTCAAGCGTTGATGGCTATGGGATTTGATAGGGCGCCAGTGGAGAGCGCCTTGAGGATGACTGAAGGGGATCCCGACAGGTGTCGCTTCTCAGTGCTCGAATTTATGCTTCCAATTTAATCCTCCCGTCATTGTTGATTTGGAGCCAGTATGCTTTACCTCAGATTTTCAAATTCTGTCGAAGAAAAGCCTGTATAAGACTAGATGGCTAAGGTTTTATTTAAAAGAATTCACATTCCAGTCAGAGAACTAGACCCCTATACAGTGATGGTCTGGAGGTTGATTGTCAGACTTGAATGAACGTATATCTGAATATCATATCTACGATAATCGTAATTTCATTCAATGTACTGCTGATTATTTTGTTTCCCAATGAGGTCATTTGTTCTAAACTTCTAAATTATTCCATGTGTTGGACCTTTCTTACCAGAGCTTTGGAATTACTATTGAATGGAGCATTGTTCATGGATGACACCACAGCACTTGGAGATTTACTGTCACTTCATCCTCCTGATGCTGCATTCCTCCAGCTGGTTCAAGAACCTTACATGAATACTCTCAGGGAAAGAGTTCAAAGAGAGGGCCCAGATGTCCTGACAGATGCCTTAAGAATTGTTGCACTGCAAAATACACAAGCTATTGAGATTATCCACGCTAACCAGGACATTTTTGTTGATTGGCTGAATGGAATGGATCCTTCTCATACACCCCAAGTAAGTATAGTACTATGGTTTACAAATATTCTTCCTGAAAAAAAAATCCAACCCATTTTTTTTCAGCGGAATGTGCCACCATTTATTGTCATTCTCTCTGAGCATGATCAGGATGTTATCAGAAAACTTTCAAGCATGGGTTTCCCATCTGAAAGAGTCATTGAGGCTTATCTAGCTTGTGACAGAGATGAGAACATGGCAATTGAACTCTTGATCACCAGCTTCCATGATGCTTTAGATTCTCATTCATCCAGTTCAACATCTCCCTTGCCCAACACTGTGCCAACCAGAAATCAAAAAGAGAATGGTGGTGGGAAGTCCAATGGCGGAAATTTGCGGCCAGAAGACAACGAAAAGAAAAATAAACCCGAGAAAGCTGATCTCCCTGGAAAGAATGAATCTAAAGAGCAAAAAGAAGATTCTTCAAAGAAATCTAATTGATTTGTCTCTTGTGGAATGATATGCGTGTAATAAAAGCTACAGTATTATAACTTCTCTTGGTCTGGATACTGCATAACTGCAGGTGGTTCTTAGACTTGCGCTATTCGTCGCCGGAGAAGTAACATGGCTGCGCTCGTAAATCACAATCAGTTCAATCTCGTTTATTCAGCTTCTGAGCGGCGCACGTGAGTTGTCGTCCGACGATGCCACACTGGAGAAGTCGCAGATAGTGACGAACTGGAAAATGGGAAGTGTATCGAAATCAATACCTTACAATTAATCTCTACTTACGGTTGATCGCATTTCACACGAGAAGCGCGTCTGTCGGAAACTTACGGACTGGGTTGTGAATGCACTGGTCACTGTGTCGTAATCTTCTGTGGGCGGGTTAGACCGACGATTTTTGTTACTCTTGACAATGGATTTCCGTTGTCATTTGTCTTGTTTGTTCGAGATCGAAATGTGATGATAACCAACTTCGATGCATTTTTATACGTTGAAACTATTTTCTTTTAACGTAAATCTTATTGCGACTAGGTGAAATTAGCCTCTGATTCTCAGTTGAAGTGCGTGATCGAGAGGACAGCCAACAATATCATGTAAGTTCTGACGGTTTTCAGCTGGTATTTTTTCGATTAATTGATGATGATGTGAATGATTACTCTGTAGGGCGACGAACACTGCCCCGGATAGAAATGCTCGTCTGCAACAAACACAAGCGCAAGTCGATGAGGTGAGCAGTTTCTTCGAAATTCGAAATGGTTTTACTGTTTTACCGGTCTGAATGTGTTCTTCAGGTCGTGGGAATCATGAGAGTGAATGTTGAGAAGGTTTTGGAACGTGATGCGAAATTGAGCGAGTTGGACAAATCTGCGGACGAGTTACAGCAAGGCGCTCAGCAATTCACGCAAACCGCGAAGAGCTTGAAACGAAAGTATTGGTGGAAAAACGCCAAGGTAAGCCTGAATTCTTTGCGTTTATTTTGTCAAATCGTGTAAAATGTTCCGACGTGTTTTGAGCTTATGGCTGCTTTGATCGGAGCCGGAGCTCTTTCGACGGGTACAATCATCAGTAAGTGAATCATTTTTCTTGTCCGCGATTTGCCTAAAGAAACTGTTCGCTCAATCCTGGAAAAACTGTTATTCCTCGTATATCTGAGAAGAAGCTGTGGAAAGAAAATTATTGTAACTATTTATTTGTTGTTGGTGCTGCCCCCGCAATCATCAAATCCGTCAACCCACGTGTGAGGTAGGAAGGTCAGATCAATGATGATCTTCATGTGTGGGTAGACGGAGTGTCGAGTGTGTATGATGTCAGCTTATCCTGTATTTTTTTAGAATTTAGATCAAGTTGATCGGTAAAATTCAGTGGGTTTTTATTCGGGTGCCTTTTCCATCTTGCTCGTAAAATCAGTAAACTATGCTCGAATACCGCCTTCTGCAATGCCTAACGTATTTTATTCAAGTGTGTTAAGGTACCGGCAACACTGACATGATGTGATGTGGTGATGAAATCCGATGGTGACCTACATTTTGGGACAGTATGGAAATTCAGCGTCGTTTTGGTGCAACGTTTAAGTTATAATTATTAAATTGACTTAGTTTCTGACTTGCAGGCGTTTATGCTGAAAAAAATTCCAGGTTTTTTTATGAGGGTGGGCAGCTTCAACAAATATGTTTTTAGAGAAATCGAAAAAACAATGTATTGACCTAACCAAAAATCCTTATCAAATGAATCGGACAGATTTTCCGGAATGAACCGAAGCCTTGCCTGCCTTGTTCTTTATCGCTTGAAAACATGCTTTGTTTGTTTTGGTTGCTAGATGTGGGGGATACTGATCGCTATTTTGCTGGTTATCATCATTATCATCATCGGTGAGTGACAATCTCTCATGTTTTTTGGTCTTCCTCTGGGTTCGGATTTGTCTCATCCACGCTGACACGCAGTTGTCGCCGTCGCAAGCCAATGATGGAAATTATCACATTTTCGTCGTGTTACTCATTATCCCCATATTTTCAATTCTCTCATTTGCTGGCAAATATAACCCAAGTACTGTTATTCAAACTGTGTGTGTATTCGAGTACGAAATTTGATGGATTAACGTGCCTGTATTTTTAAGAGCGTAAAACGTTTTCAAATTTCAATTTTTTTCCATTCCTTCATAAACAATGCATTAATCTCTCTAGTTCAAGGGCTTTCCCCCTCAAGCCCTCTCCCCCCCCCTCATAATGCCGTCTGGCAATTATTTCATTGACACAGGAAAGAGCAAATTGATGCAAATGTAACTTGATGCATTTTGAAAGGAAGTGAAAGACTTATTTGGCAAATGAACTTTGCGACCAACTCCAGTATCCTGTCAACTCATTCAAGAGGCAATTTAAGGTGCAGAATATCACCAATTACAATTTCTTGAAATTCTCAGCTCAAAACCTCCCTAACTTAAATTTTTTTGCTGGTTCCCTGAAATTTTGCTTGACAGTGTTTCACTGTACTACAGCAAAATCTTGTTAAAACAAAGCTGTTATGGGACCGGGAAAAATGCTTCCTCATAATACACCGATTAATTCGTTTTAAAGCGATTTGAATAACAGTTCTGTTATTGAACAGGGCCCTGAAAATGCATTTTTTATCCTTAATTTGTTTGAACAATATTCGTTGTAATGTGATTTTACTGTAGTGTGTTAGAATTTTCGAATGGCATCTACTTGCTTTGATTTATACTGTATTTAAGAAGTCAACCTAGGTACAGGATTGGCGGGGAAAACTCGGAAGGGGAAGCCTAAAAATATTAGGAACTAAATGTGATACAGTACTATGTATGCTAGATGTAATGTTCGAATCTTTATTTTTTGTTCTTGCTGTGAAGTCGCTTCCACGTCAACCGGAAGTTCCACCTAGTCAGCTGAGTCGGCTTGCTGCATCTGCCTCCCTTTGGATGATTTCTGGAAGAAAAAGAGTATCAATATTTTTGGACGTTCACCCACTGGCCTCTCCATCCAAGGATCAACCATCTCACAATGTGGAAAACGGAAGATTGTGCCTTCGGTCGGTTAAAATTGGCTGTTGGTGCTTAACTCGTTACAGTGAACAGACATGAGAGATGTGGGTATGCGTTAGAGAGGTGTTTTATCGCAGACAAGTAAACCGAGCTGACTGGTGATCTTTCAATTCTTCCATGGAACATGGGAGCGTTTTTGTTTGTTTGTTATTTGCGAAATTGGGATTCATTTGGCGGGCGAACTGAACAGTCTTGGTCATTCAAGCTCTCTTGTCAATGATGCCCAGATTTAACGAAGACAAGTCTAGCTAATGATATTTTATTCAACCTTACATTTAATTCGAGTTTCTTTTCGTATGTAATTTTTTGATTTTCAAAGAAAAAACCCTAATCTGCTGGAGCAGTAGTTCATCTGCCATAAAATCTGCATCTTAATTTGTTTTCATTGTCGCGTTAGAATATCTCATGTGGATCCCTGAAAAACCCAACATTCTGAAATATTTTTCTCTGTCGGATGCCCAATTATGTAATCAAGTCTGTTGATATTTGAATTACAGTACTTGAGATATTTCGGCTCTTATAATTGGCTGAAGTGCATTTACGTTCAAGTGGAGAGAGTTTTCTATGATCGAATAATAGACTTCTGAATTGAAGTATTAAATTTTTCCATCAAAAAATGCAATATTCGTCAAGGAAACTGTAGAAAGTCAGAATGTCCTTCGTTGGACGCCCCACGTTTTTTTTTCTTCTGAAAAATGATGTTCGTAGGTTGTCCAGAATTTTGTTGATTTCATTTCCCGGAATCTCGTTTCTTGAAATGCTTTCATTCAACGTTTTATTGGACAATATTTCCTCAAAATTTTTTGATTAATTTTTTTTCAGTTACGCACTGGTAGATTGGGGCGTCCCCTGAGATATTCAAACGTTCGGCTGTTGGTCCTTCTTTCCCCTAAAATGGTGAACCAGAATCAAGGTGTATAAGCTCATATATGCACGCTGTTTATACCTGAACAAATATGGTATATGCGTTCACAGATAGTGAGGTTCGTGATGGCGCATGAGGTTCTATACTCACTATGCAAAAATCCTGCTTCTTGAGCTTGAGGTGTCACTTGCCTACTTCTTTAAAAAAAAAAAAGGCGAATACCAACGACGGTGTCATCAATAAAATTACTGGCATAGGTTTATTCGGCACTGGTAACATATGGTTTTATGTGTGTATGCGGGATGCGTGTGTGTGTGTGTATTGATGGCTATTGCATGGAGCTTCAGTTGTAATTTGTTGAACATTGATGCAGAGGTTAAGAGGTCGTCCGTTGACCTAGTGCGTGTTGATCGTGCTCTTTGTTACCCGCTATTACCGAAAAGATCGCTTGGCGAGAAGAAAGGTTTTGTTTTCTCTGGCTTACGAAAGTGCGAGGGATTGTGTGAGGTTGCGGCTTATTGATCATGAAATCGAATTTTTTTTCCTCTTGTTATGTGGATACGGTGATTAAAGAAATTTCATTGTGATTAAGAATAATTGTTCAGTTTTTTTTACATTTGATTATTGCTGTCAAACCACTTCAAGACACAACCCAATAAGTCGTCACCCTACTAAACCACTAATTTATTAAAAAAAAACATCTGATTCCCTCATGGTGGAAACATGGAAACCCCATTGAGATGCCATCTGCCGAAATTATTAAAAACTCTAATATGCTCCTGCCAATAGTTTTGTCCTTGATGCTGTGAAAAAATTATTCAAAATTCTGCGATATGTCTCCCATCAAAAACCACGAAAATATCCCCAAAATTACGTAGTATACTGCCTTTTCCCAAGTTTGCATGCACCCTCAACGTTTTCGCCTGCTCCAAGATTCTTTGGCGCAAAATGTCCCGTAAAACCTATCCCTACACCAAATATAATTTCCTATCCATTTGTATCAGTATTCCACATCACGATTCCTTGAAAATGAGTCCTTCCGTATTCTGAAGCAATCAAATTTTTCATAGAAAAATACTCATTATGCAGGGTTTGTCATCTGTCAACCAATAAATTGGATCTTCTCAACTCCATGATATGTGGTCCTTCTTAATCCAAATTTACAGCTGAGAATACAGACTAAGCGGTTTTATCCTTGAGTTTATCTGATGGATAAAAATACAATACTTACAGGACAGACTGTTGGATACAGATTAAGTACAGGAGAGATAATGGTATGGTAGGAAATGGAATGAATCATATTCTTGGATAACCTGCGAAGCTCTTTGCTTTTCATTTTGAACGTGGCAGACGGTCAAATGTACCGGTTTACGTGAACTTTGAGGCGGCTGCCATGTTGAAGTATCAGAGTAAGGCCCTCTGAGTTATGAAATCTAGCGGTGTGGATCGTAAGCATTCAAGCGGTGATTTCTTTTAGTGTGTATTTGCACGTGGTCGAAGGAATTCTGTATCTGATCGCGAGGCAATTCGTGATATTTGATGGCTCGAATTCGATTCCGCGCTTTCTAAGTAACTACTAAGACGCACGATGTGGAATCCTGTGATAACGCGATTGCATCTCATCTACTTATGTTTAGTTGCGAGGGAATACTGTATTCAGAGCAATTGCATTATGTCTGATGGGATTATCTGTTGATCGCTTCATTCTCTGAAGTATCCCCTTTTGTTCTCTAAGGTTTTCTTGTTGAATTGGTGCTCGCCGTGAATAGGTACCCCGGGCTTTCCGCGAGCCGTGCAAAATGGGGAATATTTTCGCCCAGTTGTTCAAAGGCCTGTTCGGCAAAAAAGAAATGAGAATATTGATGGTTGGGTTGGATGCGGCCGGTAAAACCACGATTCTCTACAAGTTGAAGCTCGGTGAAATTGTGACTACGATTCCTACCATTGGTAAGAATGATTTGTTCTACTTTACATTTATATTTTGATAAACATACATTTTCCCCCCCGCAGGATTCAACGTCGAGACGGTGGAGTATAAGAACATAAGTTTCACCGTGTGGGACGTCGGTGGTCAGGATAAGATTCGACCGCTTTGGCGGCATTACTTCCAAAACACACAGGGATTGATATTCGTTGTCGACTCTAACGATAGAGAGCGTATAGGCGAAGCACGCGAGGAATTGAATCGAATGCTCAGCGAAGACGAGCTTCGGGACGCAGTACTGCTCATCTTTGCGAACAAACAGGTACTTGATTTTAATTATCGGTTGAAATTGATGTTCAGGTCCGAAAGTTCTGTAACGAAGGTCGCCTGTTGAGCGAACCGATGGGTAACGTTCTGTATTCACGTTCCCGAGCAATATTCGATATACAGTACAGTACGTACGCAAATTTTGTCTATTTTGAACAGCGTAAATCAATTAAACTTCTTGCCTCGAAAAATCTCGTCATTTGCATTTAGCATGTTCGATCGGATGTCTTTTCTGGGCAAGTGCTGACTCACAACCTGAGACAAGTATCGAACCAAGAATGACGAGTGTTCGGAAGAACACAATTTTGCTCCGAAATCTGTTCGTCCTATGCAACGTACATAATTGAACCGGTCTGGGAAAACTTCAAATTATAATCTATGCAAAGAATCTTGAGATTCCTATGCTTCGTTTTCTGTTAAGTTTGATTGACAATGTACCTACTTGCCTGCCAAGGAACGCGTGAACAAATGCTAACTGTACCTATCCCGTTGACTTCGAAATTGGAAGGGAATTTGGAATTGAAGCTTTGTACTCATTCTGCTCCTTTTCTTCAAAATTTATACATAGGAAGTTTCTGCAACGAATACCTAAGCTCACATTGATTATTTAGCCCAACATCCAAAATCCATCTAATTCAACCCGTAGTGGTCCGAAGCTGATGCAGTACTGCTCTAACCAGTATTCAGGACCCCTGGGTTTCATTTGACAAAACCGATCCCAATTAACCTAACCCTCGAACTTCCGATGTGGGTTGAGAAAGAAGCCTACGAAGTCAGAAGTGCTGTCTCGAGTTATAACTGAGATGTGTAAGCGACTAATCATGTGCAGATTTGCCCTAAAACGATGAGCCACGTCTACTTCAACTGAAGTCGGATATAATTCGCTCATTTAATTACTCAAATTGTTTTTGCGATGCCCCTTTGGATTGTTCGAAATTATATTTATGACTTGCTGATTAGGACCTTCCGAATGCGATGAACGCAGCCGAGATAACAGACAAGCTGGGGCTACACTCATTGCGGAATAGAAACTGGTACATCCAGGCGACTTGTGCAACGACAGGCGACGGGCTGTATGAAGGTCTCGACTGGCTAGCCAATCAACTGAAGAACGCCAATCGCTGAGGCGCGTGTTGCGAGAATTCATGAAGTTATAAAATCCCTCTGTTTTAATTTTTCTCTTCGCAAAATTTTTTTCTGTTCACGTTACGGTGAGAGGAGTTTCAGTCCAGGTGTGAATTGCACGGTCTTTGAGGTTAATTTATCGTGAAGCGACTGAGGCGTCTGATTTTCTTTTTTTTTCATTTGTTTTCCTCACTCTTGTGTTGATTTTCCTGTCGTGCATATATATATTTTCTGGGTCGGAGGGCGTGTAATTTTACATTGTTGATGGCAGGCAGGAAGATGCAGCAGCAGCGCTTGTTTTTCTCACCCTTCTATCGTTTCCGTTTCCCGTTTGTTGGGTTTTAGTCGACTCTGAACGCATTCCATCAAAAAAGAAAAGTAGTCCCTTCGACCGCGTGTTTTCCGATTTGATTTTGCGTCCACTGGACGATGGGATTCGCGTGAATTCTTCTGAGAGGGACTCGGGGGCGTTTTCAGCAGGAAAACTCGAAGGCTTCCGTTTCGGTTGAGAAGGTCGTTTTGAAGCCTGGTAACGTGTCAGGAGCGGGGGTCATGGCTATTTTGTGATATTGGTTCGTTTATTTTTGTTCTGCTTCTCTCGGCCACTTGCAGTGATCGATTTTTTTGTCCGCTGGTGCGACTTCTCTTAGGTTTAGACAACGAGGGGTTTTGCTTCGATCTTGTGTTTTTCTGTCCTGCGTCTTGCACTTGCATGATTTCGATTGAGAGACGAGCGAGAGATGGTGAAATGAACTTCACATGGATCGTGTAATTTTTCTCTTCTTTCTCCTTCATTTCGTCTGGAGATGACCCCTCAGTAGGATGACATTGCAGAGCGAATTTCAATCTGATGTAACAAAATGTATTTAATCAATTGAAGTACAGTTGAACCTACCTAACTCAATCCTCTGTGGGTTGAATGCCTTGCTATGCTGATTGTTAGCAAATACAGTCACTGTCTGAATTTGAAACAATTCATCAAGAACCTCCTTAACCCCAAGGCTTTCCCTCCCAAACCTCAGTGATTTGAGTTTTCTGGATGCATTTTGGGTGAAGAATTATACAGACAAGAGAAAAGCAATAGAAATGCAACTCAAGGTGTTGCAAAAGGAAGCAAATGACTTGATTTGGTCAAGAACCCTGTCAAGTGATTTGAGAAGCAGTTGAAGGCCTACAATTCAGTATCATCAATTAGAATATCCTGCAATTTTCCTTCCTTCCCTGCATGCTGAAAAAATTATTCCTTTGCCTGAATTTATTTGTTGGTCCCTTGAAATTCAACTTGAAGATGTTTTCTGACCCTGTCAGAAAATGGGATCTTTTCAGGATCTAAATACATGGAGAAAATGCCTGTCCCTGAACTTTGTTACATGTTTCAGTAGGTCACATAATGCGGCACACACATTCTAAAATTCTGTGTAAGGAATTACTGTGTGTAAGAATATACTAGTACTGCATCAGGTGAACACTTGCAGGGCGAAATTTGCCTGGAATTGAATCAAACAGAAGGCAAAATGTTGACCTGAAAGTTTTACAGGTCTATAGGAACCCAGAAAATAAAATCTACGGGTGAGCTTCAGTTTATTTCAGATAAGCAATGTAAGGAGTAGGCTGAGTAATCGGATCTTTCTAAAATGATGGTTTAACGAATGGTTGAACTCCAAATCCACTTGACAAAAGCTATGCTAAGTTCTGTACAGTCAACTCCTTGACAACGCTTTAAATCTTCAGGGCCTTCACAGGCCTCATGCTAAGAAGGTCCGAGATTATTTTACATTTATTTTAAGCGCATGTACTCCGAAGAATTTCACTGGCACGGCGAATTTCCTTCGCTCCAAGGTGAGTCGAGGGGATGACGAAGCATGGCGAAAATCCACCCGGCGTGGTGGCGACAACGTCCGCCGCAAGTGACCTGGCTGAGACTGTCAGGAAAGCATTGGATGAAAAATTGTTGGAACTGAAAGCAAATGCCATCGCTGCACAACAGGCTTGCGCCAAAGGCAAGAACAACATAGTCCCGTTAATTTCAAGGAATAAATTTTCGCATGAAAAGAATGTTGGAAGGTCTGAACAGTATACGGTGGTACTTAGACTCTCTTAGTGTATATCAGATTGAAGTTTCGCCTAGATGCGACATCTGCGGTCATGCGCACGTAGTTCCGGTCTAGAAACCCCTGGTAACATCAAAGCTTATGGATCCTACGCACTATCCGTACATCTGAGGACCTACGCTTCAGAAATGGAAATTGACTAACACTTGGCGTGATGACTGATGAGGTAGCATTTGACTTATTTAAGAACTTCTTAGTGTGATTTTCATTCGGTAGCTGTCTTATCTGTTCTCGCGACGAGGATGACACTGCGCCCTGAGCGTGAATGCGTAACATTTCCACCCGTGATTGACCTGGTAAATGTCGTGTTGTACTTCTCTGTAAACGGAGTAACAATTGTTACTGTACTGCGGCAGTCCATGCAACTCCGAAGGTGAAACGTGATTCAGAATTTTTCATTAAAAATACAATACTGTACCGAGTTAACTGTATTTGGTTCTTGTGAAGCCTCATTGAAGGTGCCGCGGAGAAATTACGGTCGATGTGTGCGTTCGGTTTAGTTTAGTAATCCCTTCGAACGGCTTTGTAGGGAGAACTTCTCTGACTTGACGTAGTTTAAAAACTTTATTAACTCGATTGTTACGGCCATGGCCGCAGCTGCCGTTCTGAAACGCGGAGATGCCATCTCCGAAAAATCAGAAAGCAGTGACATGAAGCTATTTCTCTCGAAGCTTTGTACGTATGACCCACACGATTCTTCATTCAAGTATTCCTGAGTGCATCTACGTCGATTTTGCAGGTCGTGACAGCAGGAAAGGCGACGAGGAAGCCGAAGACGCGTGTACTGATGGGGAGAAAAACGACTTCCGATGTGGCAATGAAGGTGACGAGATGATGGATGATGTCCGGGCTCAAGAACAAGGAATTCTTGAGCTCGGCGAACAGCTACGCAGTGATGGAAAAGCAAACGAACTCGGTGAACTGATCAAAGCAACTCGTCCGTTTCTCAGCATGATGAGCAAAGCCAAAGCAGCCAAGCTCGTTCGTGCCCTGGTTGAGATGTTTCTTGACATGGATGCCTCGACGGGGTAAGTACAGTATCTATTTAGAGATAGATTGCCCGCTTCCATTTCGATGCGTCCTTGAATCGACGATATAATTAAAACTGTGGTGTTATCCACATGGCAAATAACTTGACTTGGTCGGAAACCTTTCTACGTAATTTCGCGAAGTCGTGGAGTCACTACCTTCCGGGGAAAATTAACTCTTGAGGATTGAGGTGACAAAATTAGACACGACCTAGAACAAAAATGGATGAAGAGTTGCTCGTGTTTCAGGTATGAAGTGCAGCTGTGCAAAGAGTGCATCGAATGGGCCCGCGCAGAGAAGAGGATATTCTTGCGTCAGAGCCTAGAATCCCGGTTGATGTCTCTGTACTATGATCTCGGGTCATATTCAGAGGCCCTGAACCTCGGCGTGCTGTTGTTGAAGGAGCTGAAGAAGCTTGATGACAAACACCTGCTGGTGGAAGTGCAGTTGTGTGAAAGCAAGACGTACCATGCCCTTGGAAACCTCCCGAAAGCCCGAGCCGCGCTCACGAGTGCCCGTACCACTGCCAATGGTATTTACTGCCCGCCGAAGGTCCAAGCTGCCCTGGATCTCCAGTCCGGAATTCTTCACGCCGCGGACGAGCGAGACTTCAAGACCGCCTACTCGTACTTCTACGAAGCGTTCGAGGGCTTCGACTCGGCCGAAGACTTGCAAAAGGCGCTGACTGCGTTGAAGTATATGTTGTTGAGTAAGATCATGCTGAAGTTGCACGATGAAGTACCGACGGTTGTTTCGGCTAAGCTGGCGTTGAAGTACGCAGGACCAGATTTGGAGGCGATGAAGAAGATTGCGAAGGCGTCCAGTGAGCGTTCATTGAAAGATTTTCAGCTGAGTGTGAAGGACCACAGTTCGCAGCTAGAAGCTGACCCAATTATCCGATCCCATCTCACCACCCTTTATGACCAGATGCTGGAGCAGAACCTTTTGCGCATCATTGAACCCTACTCAAAAGTGGAGGTTAGTTGACGTTTTTTGAAAAAGAACATTTTGAGACTTCAGTCAGCTGAAAATCTTTTTCCGATTATGCCCAGTTTCCGGCTCACTGTGAAGGTAGACCTATCACAAGTGGTGTTTAGGAGTGATATTTCAACTATTAGTTGGAAAAAAGCTGCAGGTCTGATTCCTTTCCGATAAAATAATTCAAGAGGAGGGGTGAAATTTGACGAATTTTGATGACCATTGAAATTAAAATACGTGAAAGAGTAACAGGGTGGTAATTCTAATTTTGCGTGAGATCATGACGTCGTAATCTTGAAATCGAAAGAAGTGTATCTTTTTTCAAATTGCTGCATTACTGCATTACTGAGCGAATGTCTTTCACAACAAAATTGTTTTTATTTTAATTTTAATTCTTCTGCATCTTGCGCCTGATAGCGAATGTATGTCTTGCTAATGAAGCTCCGAATTTTCGCATCTTTGTGTTGGAGATTTGTGCTATTCTGAAAGAGGAAAGTTTTTGTCACAATAATTTTTTCATGTTTATCGAAAGGTTGACCACGTTGCGAAGCGGATCGCGTTGCCTCATACGGTGGTAGAGAAGAAGCTGAGTCAAATGATTCTGGACAAGACCCTATCCGGTGTGTTGGATCAAGGATCCGGTGTGCTCTTCGTTTTCGACCCGTCCCAGACCGACAAAACCTATGAAGCCGCGTTGGAAACAATCCAAAGCATGGGGAAAGTAGTGGATACTTTGTTCAGCAAAGCCAAGAAGCTCACGTAATTTTTTTTCCCCCAGTCTGCAAACATAGTTTAAAAACCCTTCAATTATTTGATGTTTTTTTTTTCGTACGATAAAACAGAGTTCCGGCTGCGAGGCGGCCACTGGAAGCTGCTTCTTGACAAACATAAACCTCTCATTTTGATGATTTAATCTCTTTACGACTGCTTTTCTTTTTTTAATTCCGTTTTGTTCGGACGATCGTGAGTAATAATGAGGCAACAAGGTGTGGGTTTATTTCTGATTATTAATGCGAGAATGCACGTGCGATATACTGTATTTCCTCAAATATAAGGCGCAATTCGTTTCAAACTTTAATTTGCAGAAAATCAGGTTGTTTCGTAAAATGTGGTTTTTTTCAAAAGTGGGATGCGAAAGCGGTACAAAAATCCTGCATATACTGTATTTTGAATTTGTATTCACGTGTCGAACCCTAAAAATAAGTGTGGAGATATATCAGAAAATTATTCAGAGTTTACATGTAAGATTTCATTTGGCAACTTCTCCATATGGGTAATTTGTGAGAGAACTTCGTATACTGTACCTTAATTTATCCTCACAAATTGGAATTAGTGAGCCTTGGAATTGCAGCTTGCCATTTTTGTGCATTGCTTGTAAAGGTGTTGCTTTAAAATTTGTTTTCTTTGTCCTTTCTTGACTACAGTTCCTGCGAATAAAGTGACATTTTCTCGTGCATTTGATGAGCAAACTTTCATGTGTGAAAAAAAATTTAAGGTGCATTTTTTAATCGATTGCGTCTTATATTTGAGAAAATGCGGCTTTGATGTCCCTGTCCCAAGAGTTGCGAGGTTTGAACCAAGCAGTTGTGACGTCGGGGGGAAAAAAATCGTAGGCCCTGGTTTCGTACCGAAGCTGGCTTTTGATTATGAAATGAATTTTCTGAAGTCTCGTCGTAATAAGTGTTACTTTTCGTCTGAATTTCATGCCGAAGTCGTCGAGGTTCATTACTTGGCCCTGGTGTCCCTTAACCTGCAGAGTTTCTTTAGTGATGGTTTCATGACTGAAAGATGCAGTCGGTGGTCTTGTGTGTAGTGGTGCTGAAATGCGTGGTCGCTTCTTGCGGCGCCGCGAAAGTGTCGCCGTTTACGGATGATGCGCGGAACCCGTTCGCGCTCAAGTCTTCGCATTCAAGTCGTTCCGATGGATCTGATTTGATCGTTTGTTATTTGACTGGATCACCTGCATTTTGGAACAAAAATGCCGGTGAGTTGCGTCGCATCGTATCCCGAATTTTTCCATTTTTCTGCATGCTAATTTGAATTAGGTCAGTTTCAGATTAGTCGTAATAATTGAAGTTGGGTCAATTGAAAAATTCGCAAAAACTGGGTCCAACAAGAACTAGAACGTACAGTGGTGTTATTAAATTATTTGTGCAGTGCTAGAAATCCGCCCTGTCATGTGTAGATTATGGTATTAAAGTTTTTCGCATTCCAGTTTCCTTTTTTTTTTATGGATGCATTGCATTACATTCGGTATTCTTTTTTCAGTATAGTACTACATTTCGGTACTGTATTGAACAATTACCATAATTTATTTTTATTCAAGGAGAATGTGGCATTGTTGAATGATTGTGTATCCGAGTAATTTAAACGTGAAGTTTTATAACGAAATAGTGTCGTGCCCGAGCTTTGTTTTGAAAGGTATTGATAATTTTCTTCGATATCATATTTGACACTTTTTTGTTGGTCCCACTTTAAAAAAAAAACGTACACAATTTTTTTAATGTTTTCTGTGTCGTTGATAATTTTCGGAACGCCTTCGTATTCGCCTCTCCTCGAAATTTAGGAGTTTTTTTTAAACGCGTCATTCTCTAATTGCTTACGAAAATGAATGCTTCAATGTTGGGATTTTCGCAGCAGGAGTCGTAGAACCGAAAGACATTCCGGACGATACCTGCAATACCCTCAACCTGATGAATTGGCTTGGGATTCGAGGCGACAGACTGAGTTGGTCGAATGACTTCAACTGGCAGGTGTCCTTGAAGCAGGTCATTCATGAGTGGAGGGACAGGAACACGTCGTGGCCTTATAACAAAGACGGAAGCAGGGCCAAAAGGATCATGGTCACTATAGGAGACGCGGGTCAGTTGAGGAACCTTGTCAGATCGGCAGAACTTGACCAGGGGCTGTTGAGGAGGTTTGCGGTGAATGTGAGAACTTTTCTAGCTTGGACTGGGCTGGACGGATTGGACATTGACTGGGAGTATCCGGGATGGCATAGACCTTGGCAGGTTTGTATGTTCTACCTGACTGGGTCATAATTTGCCTCGAGGAATTTTTGCAGCTAAAATTGAAGTGAAGTTATGTGTAATGCAATATTTCACTTTTTTGAATTGATTTTGTTTTAAAAATATAATGATGCGCACCCTCTTTCTTCCTTATAATTTTGAAAAAAGATGTCCTTTGTACTTCAGTAAATACTGTATTTGCAAATTTATACTAATGATAAAATCTCCTTTCCATGACAAAGTACTGTATAAAAATGTGTACAGTGCTTTAATTCTTCATTGTGGAATTCTGTATTTTGTAATGAGAAAAAATGTTGGTCTACAAATTTAGGTGTATTTTCGAAATTCTCATACAGGGTGGACTCTCTTCAATGATCTTGTTTTAAAAATGTCTTTGTATTACGCATTTTTTGTAATCTTGTATAGGGTTATATCTCCGTTTTAAAGGGGTTCTCCACAACAAAATTCTCTCGACAACGATTTTTTGTTGGTCCCTTGAGTTTCATTGTCGAGAGATTCGACGTGTACAACATTTTTGTGATTAACAAGAAGAAACTCTTCTGTTTCATTCCTCTGATTGCTCATAGAAATATTTTGTTGTTGATGAAATTAACCAAGAAACGTGAAAATTTTTTTTCTCTGCAGGAACGTCCGATGTTTCTTGCCTTGCTGGCAGAGCTGAGGAAAGAGTTTGACACGGCCTTGCCGCCACTTTCTCGGCGCTTATACATTTCTGTAGCCGCCGCCGCGAGCCGAGGAATCATGGAGTCGGCATACATAATGCCGGATATGGGGAAATATGTGGATTGGATCAATTTGATGGCGTATGATTACCACGGGTTCGTGTGGTACATGCCCTTCACTGGCCACAATGCCCCCCTAGAGGCTGCCAAAAATGAGAATGGAACTTTCTCGGAGCTGAATGTTCATTGGTCTGTACAGCGTTGGCTCGACTGGGGACTGCCGAAGGAAAAGCTTGTCCTGGGTATTCCAACTTATGGAAGATCATTCAGGTACTGTACTTGCATTTTTTTTCTGCTGATTTTAGTGTGTGCGGAAAATGTATGACGTAGCGGGGGAAAGGCAATTGTAGATTTTTATTTCTTTCCGATAAATTCTGGCCTTTTTCTTCGACGCCCAAGCTTTCTCTCTGAAATTCTGTACAGATGTCGCGTGAATCACTATTTTATTGCAAAAAATTACCCGTCTGAACCAGTTCTACCCGAAAAGAAAACAGTGGTAACTGTCTGTTCCAAGCTAAGAATGATATATAGTCAGATACTTCGGGCATCTTAGTAAAATAACGCATTTTCTCTCATCTCTAGGTAATGTATAACAAATTTCTCCTGAACTCCCCAATATCTGTTGCTACGGTATTTTACTGTAAAGAATCGAACTACAAATAGCAAGTGTTCATTACGCTTTCATCTAAATTTTATCTCTGTCTGAACAATCGAGTTTTGCGTCGAAAAATAAACCGAAATGGTCAAGAATTAGGAAGACTCTTCACAAGGAGTAGGAAGAACACGGCGGGAAACGTGTCATGCACAGTACTGTACCTGTATTTTGTGTATTTAATAATGTTCGTACTGTATTAGGAATATAGAATAAATGTGGAAGTAGTTGATCTGTGCTGGAATTGCAGGTTTGAAGAAATCACGGGAATTTTTTTTTTCCAGACTAGTGAGACCAGAGGTGCATGACATTGGTTCACCAGCCCTCGGAGGTGGGTGGACCAATTTTACGGACGCTTGCTCCATCCTGAACTCAGCCGATGGAGTGCGGGTCTGGGATTCGGACTCTCAAGTACCGTATACGTACAGAAACGGAACCCGTGATTGGATTTCGTATGACGACGAGGAAAGTGTTGCCAAGAAAGTACAGTTTTCCAGAGAATTCCAGCTGGGCGGTGTCATGGTGTTCTCTTTGGATGCTGATGATCACGAAGGCGTGGTTTGTTCAGTTGGACGAAAAAATAAGAAAAAGTTTCCATTGTTGCGAAGGATCGTGGCTGAAATGCGGAAAACTTTTTGATTGTGACCCCGTGAATAATTTGTAACATTCTTTCGGAAGTGCGGTTATTGAAGGCCTTGGGTTCTGGTTTCTCAAGTGCTCAGCAGCTTGTTTTATAACGTTCCGCCATGTGTGAATAATTTTCACGCTTTTTCTAATCGGAGGTGCATGTGTGTGAAGCATGAGGGCGAACAATTGTGGGGAAAAGGAAATCTAGGACAATGATCTTGAGTGTCATGTATTGGGCATGTGAACTGTGGGATGTCTGCATTATGACGTAAACAATGGATCTCATTTGAATTACGAATTCCTTGCCGCTTTCTTCTACTTTGAAATCGCACAATTTTTTTTTATGGGTGCAATTCAATCTTGCGTTGGATTGAATAATTATTGCAATTTATCCGCGTGCTATTCAGGTTCAAATCCCCTGTCGATGCCTGCCTGACCCAGCACGCATGATTACCTCATTTATTTTCTCCCCTCCACTACCTTTTGTTTAACATCTGGTTGAAATTTTTGCAATTGAAAAAGTGGTTTAAGTTGAGAGAATGTCTTGGTTATTGGGATCGCGTTTCAAAGCAACCCCTCCGGCTGAGGGTGGCGATGGAGGAGAGGGCATTATGGGTCAGCCTCCAGCAGGCAGTGGCTCCCCTGGTGGTGGTGGTGGTGCTGCTGCAGTCGCAGCAGCTGCTGCTGCAAAGAAGTCTGCCATGGAAGCGTATACGTTTGATTCTGGAGCTCTGGAAAGAGCTGCTCAGGCTGCCAAGGAACTGGAAAAATCAGGTGGGTGCCTTGAATTCAGTGAGAGTTTTTATTTTTAATTTTTTATAGGCTGAGAGACTTTTTCAAGAAAAGGGGGAAAATTGCCCTTTTAGATATTATATTGAAGTATATTTGAAAGTCTTGATGTATCTGATGTGGGGTTGCAACATTATTTGTGCGTGTTTTTTGCAAGCAAATTGCCTGGACACCTTTTTGTTGTTGTAGGAGCCTTTCATTCAAAGCTTGGGTGACCATGCATGGCACTTGAGACCATAAAACCACATATGATTTGAAAGGAAATTGGACAAACTTCTATTCGTTTATTTTGGGTTGCTTTTGAGATGTTGCAATCCAAAAATTGGTTCACTTTTCTTTACCCACCCTGTTTATGTTGTGTGAAGAATTAACTCGACCAGAAGTGAAAAAATAAAATTCGATCTTGCCGAATCTACTGTATCTATTTGAGCACCATATGCCCTCCACTGAGATGCGCTCTGGATTTTTCAGCCTAAAATTTGTATTAAAATTAATCCCAGAGTAGGACATGCACCCCATTTTTAAAACTGGAAAATGCAATACAGTTGAACCTCTATAAGTCGAATTTCTAGGGACCAGGAAAAAAATGTGACTTAGGGAGGTTTTGATTTTTGGAGGCTTCTTGTTTAGAAAAGAACACTTTTGTTGTGAGAAGTGAAAGTGTGGGAAATCATGAATGAGGATATTCTGGGCCAAAACTAACTCCATGATGAGTTTGCCCCTTCCTGATTTTGAAGCCAGGGTTTCATTTGCTATTTTTGTCTTTCAATTCCTTTCAAGATGCATCAAATTATTTGTTTTAATCATTTTCTCTTTCATATTTCAAGGAAATAATAACCAAAAGGCCTCAGAAAATTCGACTTACAGAGGTTTTAGAGAAACAAAATTTGAGTTAAGGAGGTTTTTAATATATTGATTCTAAGGAGTAAGGGGTTTCAGACAGGGACTTGAAAAAAATTCGACTTGGAGAGGTTCAACTTATCAAGGTTCACCTGTATTTCAAAAATAAAATGCATCAGAACTTTGAATTTCGACTCCAGTTGTAGTCAATGTACGTTGATTTTCCGTATGTTCCTTTTTTAAATTTCCAGTTGAAATTGTATAAAATTCCCTGTTGAAATCAAACATGATACGCATCAAAGCTCCGCAAAATGTATTAGAATATTTATTTCTTGCCTAGGATGCACACTCTTTGTTCCTCTTACTTTTGATGAAAAGGTGTGCATGGAACTTGAGACAATGCTGTATTATAGTGCTGTTTGTGAGAAAGTACTTCTGTATGATTCAATGTGGTGCTAATGTACACTTTTTCATTTTTCTTTCACTAGCTCATGCGAAGCAGGCTCTGGAGCTGAGCAAGATGCAGGAGTCAACGAGACAGGCAGAGCTTCAAACGAGGGCCAAAGAGTTCGAGGCGGCCATTGAGCAAATGAAACTGGACACGAAGCGAGTGGAGGCGGAGGAGCGGCGGAAAACGTTGGCTGAAGAGACGAAACAGCACCAACAGCGAGCCCAGTATCAAGACCAGTTGACCAGACGACGGTATGAGGACCAGCTGGTGCAACAGCAACGCCAACAAGAAGAACAGCTTCGGTTGCAAGAAGAAAGTGTGAAGAAGCAAGAGGCTATGCGGAGGGCCACGCTGGAGCGTGAGTTGGAGCTGAGAGCTGAGTCGGATTCTAGGAGGGCCAAGGCTGAGCAGGAGGCGAAGGGCAAGGTGGCCAGGGCCAATCATGATCTTACCATGAGTGAGATCAAATTGCAGGTCTGCAGTTTTCTCAGATTTATTTCCCGTGATGTGCGATGAATAACGTATTTACTCCAGTAAGACTCGCACCAACGTTTTAAGTCATAAAAAAAATTGGATTTCCTAGGTCACCTAGGAAGATGCGCAGCCCATTTTTAATGCTTTTATACCTACATTATTTCAAAATTAGTAACACCAAAATTTGAATTTAGACATGAATTGATCATAAATTGAAATTATTTCTGACGTTTTTCGGTTACAATTCGTCAAAAATCTCCCTTCAATTTCTTGATGAAATTCATACGGGACCTGAAAAGAAAACATTCGACATACGAAGGTTTTCGACGAAGGGAGGTTCGAATTATTGATTTTCAACTGTTTTCTTTCATGCCCACGAGAACCGAAATGTTCTGAAGTTATCAGTTTTTTTTTACTTCTGAAAAAGTTTAGAAATTCACTGAAATTTCACTTTCGATGCTCTTTTTTCTGATTTTTGAAAATGCCTCGCTTATAATTATGAAACACGAACAATGAAGTATTTCTCGTCAATGAGCACATCGTCATTTTCAATCTATTTATGATGAATTTTGACCTGAATGACGAGATCAATTGAACCTTTTCCTGAGTACTGTATTTCGATCCCTATGACAAGTTTTTCACCAGACTTGCTTCAATTCTCTAGGCGGAAGAGCGAAGAAAAACCATTCTGGAGTCGATCTCAACGGCGTCGTCTGCATTCGGCGCCGGTTTCCAGTCCTTTGTCTCCGACTGGGACAAGGTGATGACTGCCGCCGCCGGAGTGTCGGTCCTAGCGTTCGGCGTGTACGCTGCTCGCATGGGCACGGGCGTCGCTGGCCGGTTTGTCGAGTCTCGCCTCGGGAAGCCGTCGCTGGTGCGGGACACGTCCCGGCTGTCCCTGACGGACGCCATCCGTCATCCCGTGCTGACTGCGCGTCAACGACTCGTGCCGCGGATAGCGTTTTGGCGCAAGTCGTGGGGTGCCCAAGATGCCCTATCTGGAGTCGTACTTGAGCCGCGGTTGGAGGAGCGTTTGAGGTAATTTTTATTTCCACCCCTGTGTGTGTGTCTTGGGAAGGAAGATGTTCGACTTGACCCAAATGTTGGCCTCACCAAAAATTGGTTACAAAAAATATTAAAATTTAAGTTTTCAAGCATTTGTGAAACAGTATTGTGAGTGCGAAGTTTTTGAAGGCGTTATGCGATATTCTGTACCATGTGTATATTCCATAAGTGGGTTGCTTTTCTAGAGCGCAACAGATGAGCAAAACCGATCAGAAACGTGAAAAAAAAACTGCCAAAAAAGCTTTTATCCAACGAAAGAAGCAGTTCATCCATTTTATTACAGCTTCATCGTGCTCAGTTTATGTTTTTTTGCAGATCTAGTTCAAATAATGTATCTCAAATGCGAGGGGTCTAACGAAAGTTCTTGGAATACAAATTGAAACGCCGTACGATTGTTCAGAAAAAAATTCTTCGGCACACTAGAAAAAAAATGTATCCCAAGAACTTTTTTAAAATCCCTCGTTACTTCTTGTCAATGATCCTTTTTGATTATTAGTTTTTGAGAACTGAGAAACCACGATAAATCGAGTTTTTTTCTTTGGTCGCATTCGCAGGGACATCGCAATTGCCACTCGGAACACGAAGCAGAACCGTGGCGTTTACCGGAATGTGCTGATGCACGGACCCCCGGGCACGGGCAAGACCCTGTTTGCCAAAAAGTTGGCGGCGCATTCGAGCATGGACTTCGCCATCCTGACTGGCGGCGATGTGGCGCCGATGGGCCGAGACGGCGTCACTGCCATCCACAAGGTCTTTGACTGGGCCTCCACGTCCCGACGAGGTCTCATCCTCTTCGTCGACGAAGCTGATGCGTTTTTGCGCAAGCGGAGTTCCGAACACATATCGGAGGATTTGCGAGCCGCGTTGAATGCTTTCTTGTACCGCACCGGCGACCAAAGTGACAAGTGAGGAGTGAATCGATTTTGTGTTTTCCTTTTCTCTGGATAAGTTTTAGAATGCCTTAGTGAAAAAAAAATTGAGCTTCGTTCAGTTGGTTACCTCCCGACTGATAATCTGAAGTAATTTACAGTCAAACCACGTTAGGCCGCCATCCTTGGCTACCGCAAATTTGTTTAAAAAAAAAGTTCCTTAATGATGATGGCATTGGAAACCGGGTCGAAGCGTCATCCGCCAAAAAAATGTTGACTCCGCAAATATGCTCCTTTGGATTAATTTTGTATTCAATAGTCTGCGAACAAGATTCAAGTTTCTGTCAGAGTTCTCCAATAAAAAAAAAAAACGAACACAAAGATGATAAAAATTAATTCTTGTGAACATTAGCTAGGTATGATTTGCGCATCCCAGGGTTATTTTGATCGTTGTATAGAAAAAAGAACTTGATTTCCTATTATACTGTACTTGATTTTTTATTATTTCAACTGTTTTGATGAAATGCCAAACCCGCTTTAAACCACCACGAACCTCACAAACAAATGGTGGCGGCTTTCGAGGATTTGATTGTACAGTATTTGTTCTACATGGAAGAATTTGTTGAAATTTTTGTTTCTTCGCGTACATTCCGCATTTTTTCTTTTTAAAACCATCATTTTTTTGTTGCTGAAATGATTGTCCGAAATCACAGTGACGATTTCCGTTTTTCCGCTTACAGGTTCATGTTGGTGCTGGCGTCGAACACCCCGGAACAGTTTGACTGGGCTGTCAACGATCGACTGGACGAGATGGTGGAGTTCTCGTTGCCGGGACGAGATGAACGGGAGCGACTCGTGCGACTTTACTTCGACAAGTTTATTTTACAGCCGGCAACCGGCGGTGGAGGGTCTTCGGCCAAGCGCCGCCTCAAGATTGACCAGTTTGACTACGGCGCCCTCTGCTCCAAAGTGGCGGACGCGACTCAGGGCATGAGCGGTCGAGAGATTGCCAAATTGGCGGTCGCCTGGCAGGCGTCGGCCTACGCGAGCGAAAGCGGTGTACTAACGGAGGAGATGATCATGAACAAGGCGAGTATCGAATTTGTATAAAATATTCCAATCGGATTCATTACCCATGCCTTTTCCTTCGGATTATATTGAGTTTGTGATTCGACGCTGATATTGGAATGAACATCTGAGCTTCTTGACTTGCGCGATGGGTGTGTGAAGTAACTTGTTAATGAACAAAGAAGTTCGAATACTTTTGAATTAAGAATCAGTTTATTATTCGTTAAAAAATAATGGTAATCACGTTCGATCCGAAAATATTTTTTTTTCTCTTGTTGAGAAAAATAACTGATAGTTCGGTCAGTTTACGGAGAAGATTACGGTACTTGCAGGACAAGGCGCGTGTGCCCTTTTATCGGTCTTGACTTTTTGCGCGGCGCGTTAGTCAGAAAAAAGGACATGGCAATGTGGTAGGATTTAAGTGAATTTTGATGGTAACATGTTTACATACTTAGTTTTTTACTGCGGATCCTCATTAAAAATGTGATTTGTGTGAAGTACCACGCGCACTTATTTTTAAAATTGAGAGAAAAGTTTTGAAATTTTAAATGCTTTGCTGCGCGTCATACTTCGATTCAAGCAGGCAATTTTAAACCAATTTCAACGTACAATAAAAAATATAAACAACTGAAAATTAAGATTAAATTCGACCATAATTTCAATTCAAAATTTGAATTCTGATGTGTATTATTTCCAGATTACTGTGTTTCAATTTTCAGTCTTTTAAAGTCTAAAGAATGGGGTGTGCGTCTTACTAGGGGGCACATTTTTATCCAAATTTTACGCTGCATAATTCGGGTGCACCTCTCATTGGAGTAGCACTCGAGTAGATACGGTGGTTCCTCAGAAAAGGGTGAATTAATTTTATTCCTTGAAAGAAAACCACAGAAAGTAAATTTTCATTTTGAACGCTGTCTAAAGTATTTCATTTTTCCTCAGGTGAATGATGCCGCCCAGCAGCACAAGCAAAAGGTGTTCTGGAGAGACGACAGGGAGAAGGCAGAGTTCAAGTCCCTTCGATACCGATCGCCAGGTCTTTCAGCAGCAGAAGCAGCGACAACACCCGCGCCGGTCACTGCCTGAGGGCAAGAACTCGGCTAAAAGAAAAACAAAAATTGAAACAAAGGAAAAGACGTAGTGAGTTTTGCGTTGACGAAACTTCGGCATTACTGTGGCTTTCGTTTCTGTGGAGAAAATTTCCTGACGTTGCCGAGGAAATGGTCGTGTTTTGTTGCAATCGGGGATGATGTGTTCCGTCGATTTGGGGGATATTGTTTCCTGCCCTGTTGTTGGTTGCTTTGTGAGCGCTTCCGCCGAAAAGCTCATGTTTTTCTTTCCCACGAAAGAGCGGATTTCTGCGAAGTGCTTGTGATTCATACATTGGGGAGGAGGCGAGAACAAAGAAGACCTTCTTGCCAGAAACTATTGCATTTTTCTCCTATTTCTTTTTGCGTCCAGAGATTAATATTTGCGGACGCTTTGTTGCCCCATCTCCTCTAAATTGAGGCTTGGTCTTACATCATCAAGCGTTCGGTAAATTTGTGTAGAATACAATGAGCAGAAGTTTTTAAAGCCAGGAATACCATGAAAAAAGCTATCATAGGTAGAAGGAACATTCGTGAATAATTTCAGATTGTTCTGTCTCACACTCGGTGTATAATTCAATTTGATATTGCCATTTCTTCTGGAGAACCATGCACGCCTGTTCCCTCAAATTTGAGAGATAAAGGGGGCATGTTTTAGGTAGTCATACATTCTCCAAAAAGTTTTAAAAGTTCAGGGTTGCATTACACTTGATTCTAGTGGGGGAATTTTGGACAAAGTTCAGCATAAGAACTTATTTTGATGGAAATAATGGAAAATTAGTTGAATTCAGGTTCAATTCATGCCTCAGTGTATGGTGTTTTATACAGTTTCCAAAAATTGGGTGGGCATTTTACTCAGGGATACAATTTTAGAAAAAATTTCAAGTTAATAACTCCAGTTATCAAGGCTTCATGGTACTCAAGTCATGCAGTAATTCCTGAAACATTTAGTATACAGTGTAATTATCAATGAGCTTAAGCTGTTACAAATAATGCTCAGTGTAAGATTAAATCTTACTTTAATGAAGGAAAAAAAGTGATTGTTGCATAAGAGACAATTGGAGGCAAAGAGAGGTGAGAGTACAGTGCAAAAAGAATTCTGTTCTTCCATCACTTGAGACCCAAGCTACAAGATTTTGAAGCCCACATGTTTTATCAGGAGCAGAGGTTCTCAGTGAAATAACTGGCACCAGTTTCACCACCCAATGCCATCATTATCATGATGCCATCTGGATGACTCATCCCCATCTTCATCATCATGGTGTTCATGCGCGTCTCCAATGGAAGAGCTGCGAAAAGATGCGTCTAATTGCGGTTGCTGATGGATGAACTTGTTATATTGTGGTTCATCTGCCAGAAACTGGCCCAAGAGGATGTCATTCAGGTGACTGGTGATTTCACTAAGGTCTGAGGCCAGCATTTCCATAGTGACCATGACTTCAAAGAAAGTGATGACTTCTGATGTTTGGTCTGTTCCCCAGTGGTCCCTTTGATCCACCACATCTGCCAAGGTGGGTGAGAATTCTCGGATGGCTTCCACTCCATCCAAGTCCTACAAAACCCAGATAAGCTCAAAATAATAAGGGATCAAAGAGCATGAATAAAAAGTCTTGAGTGTGCTGTACATTTTTGCCTGTTTTGTGGTTCTGTGCAATTCAACTTTTCCTTTGAAAGCATTTTCCCAAAATAAATTCCTATAAAGCAAATTCTGATTCCCCCAACATATGTTTTTTTGGGAAGCATCAATCTGAGATAAAAGCTGGGTTTAATTTCATTTCAAGAAAAGCATTTTCAAGGCTTTCATCTTCATCCATCACTGCAACAAGAAACTTCAAATTCACCATTATTATTGGTAGCAAACTCTTTACACTGCAGATCATCACTCAAGTAAGTCAGACTTGAATTCCAGAAAATATATCTAAGGGAAAGATCTTTTAATTAAATTTTTGCAACAAATTAAGGATGTCATTTTCTGTTTCTTTTATTATGTGTGTGTTAGATGGAAAAAGGCAAAAAGCAATGTTAATGATTAATTAATGATAACCAAGCATGGCTTAATTTTTAAGCTACAATTTCCTAGTGCAATGTTTGAAATTAAAATTTCTAAAAGTACACACATTTCTAGTCGAAATTTTTATTAAAGCCTGATAAAATAGCCTTTCATTAACATTAATAATTGAATGCTGTTCCAGTTATAGATGTACATAGTACAGTACTTACACTAAATCCCTCCACATCTTCGCTTGTACTGCTGTCATCATCATCCACAGTGCCTTTTAAATCTCTTTTTAGGTCAGACGATTCATCCGCATTCCTGGTGTCAAATTACATGCTGTTATTCTTTTAAAATTATTTCATATTTTATTACTGTACTCACCTCATGGCCTTCTGAGCCTCCCTAGCAGCTAATCTGCTTTCCAAATCTTTGATTTCCATCTCAACTGAGGAGGCCACAATGGATTCAATTAGCCCAAAGCCGACATAAGAACCACCCAAGATCAGGAACAAAGCAAAGACACCAAAAAGTATCTTGATGAATGACTATAAGAAATGATTGTGTGAGAATTGTTGCATGCCTATATATACAATACAGAGATTAATCAAGTCTTACATCTGTTTCACCACTGTCCATGATTCCACTAGAAATGTCAACAATCTTTTCCAAAGTCATAATGTGGAAGATGGAGAATAAAGATACAAATGGCGTTTCAAAATAGTGACTGGACTGGCTGAACCATCTGAAGCCCACAATTGCCATAATGACAGCCAATAATGTCAACAATAAAACCAGTTCCAGCAGAGATTTCATCACCTTCATCAAACCCCTGGACATGCACTCAGTCACAGAGAACCACCTGTCAAAAATAACATTTTAGTAAAGTCAGACAAAACATATATGACGCGCATGCATTTTATTCATTTGATTTATTTTTCACTTTCCCCATATATACAACACCCAGTGAGTAAGAAGTGGCCCGTTTCCATCCAAAATTAGTCCAAATTCGAAAATGTTTTCAAAAATAATCCAAATTTGCTACATGCTTTGGATATGTGTGGGCACTTGTGTCCGCACATATATCCAAATGGGAAAAATTTTGCTTGGACCTGTACTGACTGTGTGTCCGCGCAGGTTGGAACTAGCAGCATTTTTTTTTTGGAAGGACTTATTTGGGAGTCAGAAACTTAACCAGGCATTTCTCCTGCTTAACATGATCTTAGTCATAGCTGTCTGACTAAGGAGATGGGCTCTTGATTGAACCCATGGTCTTGGGTTCAATCCCTCCACAGGTATGACAAATTTTAAATACTACTGCATCATGTGAAGCACAAGAGCACTCCCTCATATACCCTCACATGTAAGTACACTTGTGCACACTCACACATACACAAAATCATCACTCTCACCTGAAGTCTAATATACACATTGCGATTGTCATTAGTGGAAAAATCATTATCTCAAGGGAAAGAGGTATAAAAGAACTGATGAGATAACATGCAGAACTTGAATTTTGCTCCAATGAAGGCAAAAATTAATATTTGGAACAATTGGGGGGAATTATCAATCTTTCAGAAAAAACTAAAAAGTAATTTTATTGCATTCTTTTAAATTTGACACCCTTTGGAGGGGCAAGATTCCTCCAAAAGAAATCCAAATTGGATCCAAACTCCTCTATAAAATTGTTCCAAATTGGATCCCAACTCTTCTAAAATTGTTCCAAATGGGATCCAAACTCCTCTAAAATTGTTCCAAATTAGATCCAAACTCCTCCAAAAGGGATCCAAATTTGATCCAAAACTGATCCAACTTCTGTCCTTTCAAAATGTGTAGTCCTCTGCAATCCAACTTAGGCAAAAATGTTGGACTACTTTTGGAGCAGTTTTGGATCCAAATTTGATCCCTTTTGGAGGAGTTTTTGATATATGCGGACAACTTATTTTTGCTCACTGGGCAGTGGGCACTCATGGGCTATGGATTAGAAGTTCACTCAGCTATACCATGGTGCAGGGTTCTATTTAGATACCATAACATATTGCTATATACACTCACAAAAAAACACTAACAATCCTGAAGGTCATTAAACTGCCAAGAATGTTAATTCTTTGGTAAGGAGTCAGGTCCATTGGGTCGCCCAGCAGAGGCACATGGAATGCTATTATGATGACTCCATCAAACCAGGTGTAAATATGCTGAAAAAGTCAAAATGTTCGCAGCACAAATGAGAAAGAAGCTATACAATGTGTACTAAAAGAGTCATCTCACAGAAAAGAATCCATCTGGATAACAGAACCAGTTCAGGAAGAAGTTTAAGGCAATTGGAAGCACCAAAAATCCGTAGAGCCTCTCCAAATCAGCAATTGCAGTCTTTTTTCCTTCTGCATCCCAACTTTCCCACAACAAGTAGACGAAGCAGAGCAACACAGACCCATGCAACCATCCTCTTGACATAAAAAATAAATCATCAAAAATGAAAAACCACGGTGACTGCCTTTAAACTAACCTCCAAATTCTGCTGTAAATAATGGATGGCAGTACTACAGATTTGAGGTCAGATGCTATTTTATCCATGGGGTCTGTGTCAACAATGCTGTAGATGTTGACATTCTTCATCACCTGAATAAGTATAGGTGCATGGTGTTGAAAATGCAGTTTTCTTGTCAGATTTATGTCCATTCAGAGATAAACCGTTCAATTACGCTATTGCATCTTGCTCAATTTATGAAAGACTCATATTAAAAAGTTATTTACTGTAGTTGCAAGTAAGAGTGTAGTATAGATCGCACTTGCACAGTGAGGGTAAGCTGTATATCCTCCCTCATGCGTTAACCTTGCATTATTTGCATTAATAACTGGTCCCAATTTTAATCCTGTGGAAATTCCCCAATAACCTTGGAGACGTAAGAGGGCAAATTGATTCCCATGGCATCAGCATTGCTCACGGGCACACCAACAGACCCGCCAGAAACCGCAGAATTAGTTGTAGGCTTCCTTTTCAGCTTGGCACGCCCTTCGACCACTTGGTGAATCAGTGTGCGCTCTTTGATCGCGCTCTTGGGGTCTGTGGCTCCCACCTTCGAGGCTCGCGATGCCCCGGCCTCTTTTGACTGCTCTCCACCAGCGCTGCGTAACGTCTGCGGATGACGCGTGCGAAATGACGATCTTGGTGGCGGAGAGCTTGAGGTACTTGTGGACACGGATCTCTTACGAATTCTCCTGACCTTCTTGCGTAAAGCGGACTTCATTTTTTCTTGAATAAGTGGGGCAATTCCCTGTCAATACAGATGAACGATCAGCGTGGGCGATGTACGCGGCGTGAACCTTCACAAGTACTGAAAATCGCGAATATGATGCCGTTTTCTCTGCAGTGGAAAAAGCGGATTCATCTCATTTTGGAATCTTTCCGGGTCAAATAATCCGCAACCGTCAGAAGTACTGTATAGATCAATTTTAAGACCGAAAGGTAGTATGACCTGGTTCAGTTAGGCAAATCGAACGAAAGATTGGCACATCGTGCAGAGCTGGAATCGTGAAGTACTGATGATTCAGTACAGAAACTTCAATGAAATTACCGGAACAGGAGAAAATCAGCCATGTTTTAGTGACGAATTTACGTACAGAACGCTGGGATCGAAGACGAGACGCTTCGCAAATGCTGTGCGAAAAACGTGATTCCATACAGAATGAACTGGTCACAGTGCGCTTATTATTGATGCTTTTAATTTTCTTTCAGATCAATCAAATGTATCAAGTTCACTCATCTGAGATGACCGAAACCTTCATTAGCTCTGGAAATATTTTTTCACAAGTATTTGATTCATCGTATGAACTAAATTTCCGCCGCAAGTTGGATTGTTGCCTGTCAAAAGCATGGCTGGGATTTTGTGGCGAGCAGAACCAAAATCAAGCGAGAAACCGAAGCAATCGTCGGGTTCTACGGTTGCGACAGCGAAGCACACCATTGAAGACCTCGTCAAGGCAGCTGAGAAAGGAGACTTATCCGGGATTATCACTTTGATTGATGATCATCACGTAAATCCGAATACAAATCAAGTAACGAAAATCCCTCTGATCCATGCTGCAACGTACAACCAGCCAAAAGCCTTGGAGCTGCTTTTATCCAAGACAGCCAGGCCCAATCTTGTCAACTCTCAAGGTATTCTTTGATTTTGTCGTGCGTTGAAAAGCGAGCTCAAGTCTTAATCATTCGTTTAAATCAAAAACTAATTTTCGTAGAGTTGAATTCTATTGCGTTTGATGGCTTTTTGGCGAATTTATTGAAGCTGACGTTATACCGAATCTTTCATTTTAATATTCATTCCATAAATCAATAATCGATGGGATTTCTTCAGGGAAGACAGCGTTGCATGTGGCAGCGGAACGAGGCTATTCCGACTGTGTAGCCGTGCTTCTGAAAGGTGGAGCAGATTTTAAAATCAAGGACAAAAACGGCAAGAACCCGTTGGACCTCGCTGGGGAAAACAAAAAGGACGACTGCTGCATGATTCTGGTAACACCATTCCCATTTTTGGATTTGTTTTAGCATTGAATTAGAATGAATAATCTTGTGTCCGAAGATATATTGTCCTGAATATTTTCTGTTTGCCGTAGAGGGCGTAGACAATCAATGTAACAAATTTTGTGGTCCTATACAAATAAGTATATGCGGTGATTTCTGGGTTCAACCTCAGATTCAAAACATTCTCGCAGTTCTGCAGTGAAACATTCACCTTCCTTCTTTCCCCTTGCAGGAAACATGGCCACTGACTCGGAAAATGGGTGAAAAGTTAGTATCCTTTTCATCCACTATTTTGTTCTGTGATTTCCAAAAAAATTCTTTTAATTCTCATGAAACAGGGTGGAACAGATTGCGACCAAAGCTGCGAATCTTGGTCAAGATTTTGAGACAGTGAGACAGTTCATCACGGAGTACAACAAGAGAAAAGCTGCGATAGACCGAGAAATTTTTGGGGAATCGTCCAACAGAAAAATGAAGTCCAATAAGAAAACCTCTTCGTGATCGTGACAAGTGCATCTCTGGTGACGACGCCTGCCGAACGAAATTGAAAATGTGCTTGCGGAAATGAATGCTTAAAGAAAAATCCTATTTTATTATTTGCACTTTCTGTGAAACCAAATATGAGTGAAAGAAGAAATAAACAAGTTTTGAGTATTTTACGAAATATTTCAAGTCCCTGAATGTTATATTTTAATTTCAAGTATCAAAAAGTGCAGATAAGTGTATTTACTTGAGTATATTAGGGCTCATATACATGCATGCTGCACATACTTGCATGCACACATCATACTTGCACCCAATTTTGTAGGTACAGTAAAATCTTGTTACAATGAAGCAGTTGGAACCAGGGAAATAACTGCTTTAGCAAGAATTCATTATAAGCAAACTCAAATAACATCAAATGTATTGAACAGCATCAACCAGGGTAACAAATTTGTTCTAATCATTCAATTGTATTACAAAATGTGATCTAATGAGATTCTACTATACTGTGCATATATACACTATCAACATGGATAAAATTCAGAAGTAGAATATCATCCTAGAAATTTTAGAATTCAAAATTATTGCTATCAAGTGGGGTTCAGTGTACAGCAGAATTTGTCAGATACACTTGAACAAGAATATAGACTAATGTGCCTTCAGTCTAGGATATATTAGTCAATGGAAATCAATGATGGGGCTTATATTACTTCTCTTGAGACTCAACACTTGATCAAATGTAGGATTTGATGATTATACTACTGTAAATGCAAATGTAGCAAAACCAATCAAAGGAAAAAAATGTTGGTCAGCATTCATGATGTAAATACATACAGTATCTCCATTTTAAAGCTGTGCAAATTGTAGGATGACGAGATACGGCGAATTAACCTGGGCTCTTCTGTAGATCCATTTATGAATCACCGATGTTCTGCGCTCTTTGTATACTCACGTGCCTCACGCGCGTCGCGAAGCATGATGGTCCGGGTAAGAAGTCCTGCATCGGAAATGGAGAATGATGAAGGTTTTTATGACTCGAATATGACGTGTGAATTGTCAACTCCATGTTCCTCATTTCAGTGAAGTGCACTCCGATCATCTGTGTTGCCTTAGTGTTTCCTTGTAGTGTGTAAGTGAAACATATTAATCATGAGTGGAGACCGTCAGCGTGTGAGTATCGTGAATGTCCCTTATGATCAGTCGACACTCGACAGGTGGAACCTGCGGGTCACTAGCTTACTTGTATATGCACTTAACATCGCAGTGATATGCTGACCCTATGTGTTTTGCTATGATGATGTCAACAAGCGTTCCATTCCTATCCTTCGGACATTTTGTGGAAGGCGCCTCACATACTATAATAGATTGATTGAATTAACGTTTTCAAGTTACCTTATATGGTTCTTCAGGGTTACGGTTATGGTGCAGTGCGTGCTGTAAATTTGAACATGCTTGAAATCGGTAGTTGATCTTTTCCTTTACTTTTAAAAAGTGTAGCGTAAGAGGATGCCGGAGAGTTGATCTGCCATGTCTGATGATCGGTTATACCGACTACCGCAATTCCGCAAAGTCGTTAGTCACTTATTCTTACTGCAGAACCGATGAATTTATAGATTTTGATCATTTTCTCGAGTTTTCCATCTACATACGTCATAATTATCTCGCTTATCTTTCCAGGGAAATGTGCCGCCGCAGGCTAAGAAGAATGACGACACGTTCGTACTGATCCATCATCGTAACCAGCAAATATTATATAGATACAGTATTCTCTTCCATTGCAGGGTGGAAATGATTCCGATTAATCGAGCTTTCAAGATCGGAATACTGAGTCTGCTTATGGATCGTGTCAAACTGAAAATGTTGCAAAGGAAGATGTATGTGCTGCTTCAACGGAATCATTAACAGAATCTATTCTTTCATGAATACTACACGATTTGCATGTGAATATGAGATGAAGTCCCCCCTCCCCCATTTTGATTCTCTACAACTCTAAATCCATACAACTGTGAGTTATTCATATTTGAATTCAGCCTGCTCGTTAATCAGTGATGTGAACGAACTTTCATCCAAGACTTGACATCTCTATCCTATCCTTCGGAATTCATCACTGGATGATACTCCGAAGAGCACGCCATCAATAAAGCCATTTGATAATTATCTAGATTCTAGAAGATTCAGGAAAATACTTAGTAGCTTGCAACTGGATGATACTCCGAAGAGCACGCCATCAATAAAGCCATTTGATAATTATCTAGATTCTAGAAGATTCAGGAAAATACTTAGTAGCTTGCTTGTGTGAGTGCGAGAATAGTTTTGAAATACAGAAGTATGAAAGTTGACGCTTCGCAGAAACTAAATGTCAACTGCGAACTTATCCAATAATAAAATTCAAGAAATCGTCCAAGAAATTCCGTTGGCATCTGAGCAGATTAACCAGTATTCCACGAACCTATTGGTAGCTTAAAACTACAATACTGTATATTCATTGATTTAATGTCTGAGGGTATCCCGATGAGAGAGTTAGACATTCTCTTGAAAGCTGACATATGTCAGGGAATTCCCGGAACATACACATTTATCAAACGAGCGTGTTTCAAATCCAAGAACAGATGCTTAATTGTATATTTGGCACCATTCCCACAGGAGGGATCCAGCGTTGGAAGCTTGTTATGACGGAGAGGATCTCCAGATCACAATGGCATTTATGAAAGCGGTTCGACCTGGTGGATTCATGTGTGACCTCTCTTCAGTGAAGTGCATTCCGATCATCTGTTTTGCCTTAGTGTTTCCTTGTAGTGTGTAAGTGAAACATATTAATCATGAGTGGAGACCGTCAGCGTGTGAGTATAGTGAATGTCCCTTATGATTAGCCGACAGGTGGAACCTGCGGGTCACTAGCTTACTTGTATGCACTTAAAATCGCAGTGATATGCTGACCATATGTGTATTGCGATGATGATGTCAACAAGCGTTCCATTCCTATCCTTCGGACATTTTGTGGAAGGCGCCTCACATGCTTTAACAGATTGATTGAATCAACGTTTTCAAAAGATATGGCTCTTCAGTTACGTACAAGGCGCAGTGCGTACTGTAAATTTGAGCAGATCTAAATCATCGGTAGTCTATCTCTTACTGTTCTTTTAGGAAGTAGCATGAGAGGATACCGGCGGAGAGTTGATCTGGCATGTCTGTAATGATCAGCTATACCGATTACCGCGAAGTCATTCACTTCTTACTGCAACTGAACCGATGAAGTTATAGATTTTGATAATTTTCTCCAGTTATTCATCTACGTACGTCATATATACAGTTCGACTCGCTTATCTTCGCAGGGAAGTGCGCCGCCGCAGGCTCCGAAGAATGACGACACGTTCGTATACTGATCCATCGTATCCAGCGAATATTGTACAGTATTGATGTTATTCTCTTTAATTGCAGGGTGGAAATGGTTCCGATTAATCGCGCTGTCAAGATCGGAATACTGAGTCTGCTTATGGATCGTGTCAATCTGAATAGGTTGGAAAGGAAGATGTAAGTGCTGCTTCAACGCAATCATTTTGCAGTGAATACTATACGATTTGCATGTGAATATGAGATTAAGTCCCCCCTCCCCCATTTTGATTCTCTATAAGTCTAAATCCTTAAATCAGTGAGTGAGTCATATTTGGATGCAGCCTGCTCGTTAATCAATGTGAACGAACCCTTCTCCAAGTCTTGACATCTCTTTACTTTTATAGTAATCCAAAAAGGATTCATCACTTCATGATATTCAGAAGAGCATGCCTAAAAAAAAGCTAAGTAAGAACAATGTAGAAGATACAGGAACTTATTTAGTTGCTTGCTCGTTAGAGTCCGGGAATAATTTTGAAATACTGTACAGTACAGCAGTAATGTGGAGGCCTTAGGGTGGGGCGAGAGGGGCGGCCGCCCCAGGCCCCGCGCTTGAGGGGGCCCCGCACTTGAGGAGGGCCCCGCTGTACTGTGGCTCTAAAATTTGTCTGTCCCCCTCAAAATTTTTTTCCACGTGCCAGGAAACTGGAAGGAGTGGGGCCCCCTTCCAAACGGACTAGTTTATTCCTACCTCTTTACAAAGTTTGCTGACAAATGACAATAAGTAATCTGGTCTATAAGTAGAGACAACAGAGCCAACAGTGCATTCAGAAGAATATTGGAATAGGAGCTTTCCTACTGCATATACATTTTATAATCTTCAGTGTAATTTCTGTTGAAAATTGATGCATTTTCACATTTTATAAGGTCTTGTTGAATTTTTATCAAAGGAATTTCAAATACAAACAATGCATCTCAAATTTTTAAATTATGGCCACTATCAGTTTTAAACTCTCCCATGTATTTTATGCAATGAGGGTCTAATTTGCAATCAAATTTTCTAAAAATTTGATGATCAAGATTACAATTAAATTCACATTCATTCATAATGACTTCAGGGTAAATATGCTGCTTTCTCTATTACAGATAGAACAATACTGTTGCTGCTGGACCTTGCTAAGATCCTGAACTTTATTGATATTAATTATCTTTTGCAATTGCATTTCCAGTGCATCCCTGGCAAACCCCACAAGAACAATTCCTTTTGAATCCCCCTCCATGACAAGTTTTTGGCACTAAAGCTAGTTCCTTGCTAGTTGAATTATCCTGCAGTAATAACTTTGTTATAAAATGGGGGCTAAATTTTAGAGCAGCTGTTCCAAAAAAGGAGAAAAATAATATCTGTGATGTTTTTAAAAACAGAAAAGCTAAATTTCTACATGTTGGTAATGTGTGAATAAGTAACAATTATAAGGTCAGAAAATGATTTTCTTGATCAGCCTCTACACACAGTGGACCATGATCCTAAAACTTGAAAAGTGCCATGACAATTTTTTAAAGCCCTTTCAAATTAAATCCAAGGATAATTGGCAGTATCTAGAATTAAACATGCAAAAATTGTATTTAATCTGCAGAATTTTAAGATAAACTCATGCTGATCAGCTTAATTTGGTCTCAGGAAGATGATAACCATTGAATTTTGATTAACTGCACTTCTTTTCTGCAGTAATTATCATTGCTATTATAGTAATTTTTGCAATGGCCATTTTGGTTGGTTATTGAAAATTTTGTAGCATTTGAACATACAACCAATTCAGCCAAAACACACCTTTCTACATTAAAAAAAGAACAGGTGCTAGTACAGTACAGTACAAGTAATTGATAAAAAAAATTATAAAAGTTTATTTTAGAAACTTGCAAAAGAACTTTTTTAGCTTTCAAGAAACTTAATTGCATTTGCAGCTTTACTTTAATTTGAATCTTATTTTTCATTGTTCAAATGCTGTGTGAGAATTGGCAGGGGAGCGTTTCTAAGGGGCCCCGCATTTGACATGCCTGCCCCAGGCCCCGCAAACCCTAGGGCCGCCTCTGTGAGTATGAAAGTCGACGCTTCGCAGAAACTAAATTTCAACTGCGAACTTACTGAATCGTCGAGGAAATTTTGTTGGCATCTGATCAGATTAACCAGTATTCCATGAACCTATTGGTAGCTTAACACTACAATACTCTATATTCATTGATTTTAATATGCCTGAGGGTATCACTATGAGAGAGTCAAGACATTCTCTTATACAAGCTGACATGTGTCTGGGAATTCTCGAAACATGCGCATACATCAAACGGGAGTGTTCCAAGTCCAAAAACAGATGCATAATTGTATGTTTGGCACCATCGTTTATTCCTACAGGAGGGATCCAGCGTTGGAAGCTTTTCATGATGGGGAGGATATGCAGATCACAATGGCATTTGTAAAAGCGGTTCAACCTGGTGGATTCATGTGTGGCAGATCTCTGCCCCGATGACATCTACGTTGACAATAAGTGCATTGAGTGGCAATTTTTTGGGATGATAAATCTTCAAAAAATGCTTTTCTTGTCATGAATGAGAATAAATGCACATGAAATACCTTTGATTTGTCTTCCATACTTCAGTTGAATTTTGTATGTACTGTATGCATCAGGGGACAAATTTGTATTTCAAATCTTGCTCATCAAATTTGTCCAGCAAACACTGCATCGAAAGAAAGAAACTTTTCTCCATGGTTCTGGAAATGGTTCTTTGCTTGGGGGATCAATGTTTCCAGATTCATTACACTGATCAGTTGATGAACAGCAATAGCACACACTGTGGGTCTCTACAGAAAATAAATAATCCATCCCTGCATGTTGCGTGAAACAGGATTTCCTTCTGAGAAAAAACTGAAAAATATTCAATCCTTTTCAGAAACAGATCAAGTATCCATGATAGACCTTCAAAGAGCTACATTCTTTCAAGTTTTGAGGCATACATTTTGAGTTGAAAATTGATAAGTGCAAAAATTGAAGTAATTCTAATGATCTTTACCTGACTCTATCAAATTGTTACAAATTTCAGACCAAAAAGAGGCAGAACTTGAATCTCCTGTATGTAAACAAAAGTTCATATTGATTTAAATAACTTCTGAGTTTCAACTCAAAACCAGCTAAAATAAAAATGAATGTCTCCTCGATTTATGCGAGATATCTGAAGGATTTTTTTATGTGAGTCATTCGTTTTCCACAAATACATTTTACAACGAAACATTTTGGTTGTTATATTCCTTGAATTGGGATGATACTCGGGACGCACTGTAGAAGGGGATGCGAGTCACCTTTGCTGCGGACATCCGCGAGACGCAGGAGAAAAAAAAATCCTTGCGCAAAGAGCACATCACTTGATGTCACAGAGCAGTGCTACTCCACGCAGAGTCCAGTGACTTGGATGCGAGTCCTGCGTCTCGAAGTCTATGGATCCTATGTACATGGTGCTTGTCCTTTGTGGCTTGCGGTAAATGGGACATTCATACAACCTTCGGTCCTTGCCGGAAGTGCTGTTGATGGCGAACACGTATATGACCGGCAATGACTCATACAGCACCTGAATACAAGGATAGGAGATAATGTCAAACTCCACACTTATTGGTTTTCTTTTCATTCATTAATTTATTTCAAGAAGTGATGGAAAATATTTTTAATGAGTACGTGCAAGCTAAAGGGTTGTCCAGATGATAAAAAAGATGTCTTTGTGAGTTATTGTCAAATTCTTTTTTATGGTCTGCCATTCTTGACAAAAATCCTAAAAATACAAGGAAAATGAAACTTGAGCAAGAAATTCAACTACAAGTAATTATTGCAAGGTTAATTTTTGAGAAGGTATACCAATTAGAGGACATATAAACCAATGCATGAACACCTCTTCAAACAAATGAATCACCAAAGGTTTGAACTTTGAGTAAAGGGTACATGTGACAGAGTATAGTGATAATCTGACAACCCTGATCTTTATCAAAATAAACAACAAGGAATGGTGATAAAGGGCTTTTAACAAAGGTTGATTTCAATGTTTTTAGATTTTTCCTCACTTGAATTCACACAACTACATCTGGACAACCCTGGCATAAAAGAAGGGGTTTGGGCCTTTTAAAAGTAGTGGTACTTGACTTGACTGTTCTAATGAGAAAAAATACTCTAAAATTCCAAATTTTTGAGCCATTCCATAAATTTTTAGCACAAACTATGAAGATTTTGAATGTTATTCAATCTGCTGCAAACCACATGCAACTCCTTGAAAGTGTATGTGGCAAACACACCCCTGCAGGAGAGTTTAATAATATGATTAAACATTTTGTGTGTGATGAAAGAGGCTACCATGATTCTGTTGAGAGTTCAGTGTAGGTGAAATTGAGTTTGTTGCATTGTGATGTGTCCAAATGGTGGTGTGTTGGTCAGAAGTTTGATATCATACAACTGAACTACATCACTATTTTATCACTCCACTATTTTATCTACTCCAATATTAGGCTTCGTCATTTATAAAACGCAATTTTTTTTCTTCCAGTGATGACTGTAAGATGTCATTTTTAAAATAGGTCTGTTGATTTTATTCATGCTCTAGTTGTTTTCATGATTTATTAACACTGACAACATGAAGAAATGAAGATTTTAACTTTCAACCAAGGTATGAACTGTGTACATGAGTTTTCATTTACAGTACAGTAATTGCATTTTTGCATTGGGTTTGGTTCAAATTATTCAGTTTGTCAGAATGTATCATGCAGATAACATTGCTAAATGTCGAAGCTGTGGGATGCACACTGACTCCGCATCAGAGCCAATTTTTTTTTAGCAGCATGTTTGCAAATGGCTTCACCATTTCATACCAATTCAACTTCTGCGCGCTAGTTAAAGAGATAACAGGAAGTGGTAAATCATCATTTGATGATGCTTAGTCATGGCATCATTCAACCTAATCACTTCATCGTCGTTTGTTTAATCCGCCTCTTTTTCCGGAAAGAGTTGCGTTTTCTGTTAAAAGTCGGACCCAATCAGCACAAAAGCACTGCACTGTACTGCATAGTGTACCTCAGCACCCGTCAGCCAACGAATCACGTCTCATTATTTTATATCGCACAAGATGGCGACGCCGCGAAGGACCCAATGCGCTGCCGACTTGTCGCCCATGAGGTCGAAGGAACCCAAGTAGCACTGCTCAGTGCGCTTCTGCTTCCGGTAGATGGGGCACTCGTAGGCACTGGGGTCCTTGCCGGATGTGGACGCAATCGCATAGGCGTACACCACTGGGAGCTCCTCGTGGATCACCTTTTAGTCCACACCCACAACCACGCCCCCCACGCCCCGAAATGGGCGGAGTTAAAAAAAAAAGTAAGTCCCCAGCGCTAGCAAAAATATTCTGCTCCCACTGGTGGAGTTTTCGTCATATACACAGCACAAAATTTCCCACCTTATTGAGGCTCCATTAGAGGTTAAATCAACAGTAAATGCTCATTTTTTCCCAAGAAGAAGGAGATAAATGCAAAACATGTAAAAATACCTGGCATATTGTCAAATTCAACAAGAGAAAAAGACTGAAGTGTTTCAAGAAAATTTTTGGTAACTGGATGATACTGGGTCTTCTTTGAGTCTTCTTTCAGAAGTGTTACCTTGCCTTGAAAAAAAGTGTTTAAAAAGGGCAACTTGTTAAACTTTGTGTATATTAATTGACCTGGAAAATGTTGTTGCATGAAAAATTCCTCATTAAAGTCAATTATTTCAATGTGTATTACTTAATTTTTGTTAGGTGAGTCATTTGTTATGCAAAACTGCCCATTGTAAACACAATAGTGGAATTCTTTCCAGGTAGAAACCTTCAAGACAATAAATCCTTTCTCAACTAATGTGTGTTATACCAGATGAAGAGAACTGAAGAAAATTACTGACCTTTGGTTTGCTCTCCACAAGTTTACCACGTTTTCTGTCCCAAGAAGCGCCCTCTAGAATCAATCCATGAATGTATACACCCTCAGGTGGAGGTTCATTGATGTCCTCTTTGTTGAACTTGGTGATCATATTTTGCAGCACCACACTGTCCAGTGCCCAACCCTTGTGAGCTCTGGTCACTTCCTGGAAGATTGTAGTACAATACCAAGAATCATCTTGCTTCAAAAGTTACTTTTATTCTTTAATTTTAACCAGTATTATTTATCTGGAACGTGGCAGTTTTACCCTCACATGTTCATAGGTCAAATGTCAAATGCAGATTGTACATTAAAGAAAAATATTTTGTTCCTTTTACATGACAGTAATCAATTTTTTTGGTGGGCCTCAACAGAGGGAAAGTGTTGGAAAAGGAATTATTTTAGAGCTTTGTGATTTGCCTCAATAAGTTATGTAAGACAAAATGTTTCAACCCTTGTTAAAATACTTCACCAGCTTTCCCACTTTCCAGAAAGTTACATTCTTGATTAATACTTTTTAAATGACAAGATTGGCACAGTTCTCCTCAAAACTCATGATAAATTATTAATGTTTCTTCTTTTGGGAACCAAGGGAGAAGTTCTTGCTTAAATTTATGGATACTACTGCCATAGGATATAGAAAAATAGCTTTTCTTCTGTTCTATAGATGTGCTAACCTGTCTCATTGCTGTGAGGAATCCTTGAGGATTGAACATGCCTGTCATCCAGAAGCAGTTGGGCCTCCCATGGAAACACCATCTCCTGAACTGAATGTCTCTTTCAATCAGCTCTGTGAACCAGAAGCCCAATGTGGCAGATTCCCATGACAACTGAGAAAATGGAAAATGTGCTGCACTTCAACTTTTCCACTTAACAAATATCATAAACAAAGTGTTTTCAATCATATTGGTGTATCAAACCAAGGGCTTAATTCTTTTGGTCTCAGGCTTGTAGTTTGGGGTTTTCTTGTTAAAGAGCCACAAAAAAATGTCTATATGCACATGCACACTTTTTCTGGACTTTTACATAATTGCAGGATTTGCTGCAGTTGATGGTCTATGTAATGTTTGCTTTGAATACCCATATGGGTTCTTTGTGATGCAATACTTTTGTAGTTTGAGGCATTACTTCAAAGAGAACATAATCATATAGGCTTCAAAAGTTCCAACCTTGACCCACTGGGTTGGAACCCTGGCATCATACATGGCATCCAAAGCTTCCCTGAGATTCTGACTCATAATGACTGTTCCTTCAATGGCCAGTTTCAAGTCAATCAATGTAGACCTTACAGATTCCACAATCTTCTTCATCCTGTCAATCTCTTGCCTTAGGAAGATATTCATTGGCATAGCCAGACCTCCCAGCTTATTAAGGGCTTCTTTCACCTGTCAAAAAAACATTATACAGTACACCAAATCACATCTGGGTCACATTTAATGCTGGTTTTTATTCATATACATGCCTCAAATGACACATAAGCTGGTGGCAGTTTGCTCAACATGTCATCACACAGTCTGTAAACAACAGCTTCCCTGGTTTCTCCACCTCCTTGACCTGCACCTTCTTTGGGCTGAATGTTCAAAATGGTGTCCAGTATGTCTTTTGCTGTGTTGATTTGATACCTGGAATGTGGACACAGTCCAAGAAGTAATTACAGTGAGACCCCCACATGCTGACACCTTGACATGTAGATGATTCAATGTGAGGACATTTACTTACCAATAAAAATGTATCAAAAAGGCTCAACATGTGGACACTGACTTGCCAATAAGTTTCAGGAAAAAATACTTTTATCAGGCTGAATTGCAAGAAAGAACTACTGTATTTCTGACCCTAAGATCTATGCAATTAAAGGTTCTTTGATTTTTCCCCTATAATTTTCCCATTCATTCAGCTAATTAAAAAATTACCTTCAGCATAGAGGGACTTCCTTCTCTATTTGTGACTTGAATGTCATTTTTACAGTTGCCAACATCTCAATTTACTGTACAGAGGTACAGTATTTGATGCTCCAAATATTTTTATTGAATTGGAAGATATTCACTGAATCAATTTTAATTAGCAGACATTTTTTCATGGAATTCAGATGAATATTTTTTTCATCAAACACCAATTAAAATTATATAATGTAAGTCTATGGGAAAACAAGAATCAACTTAGGAACATTTCAACTTACGGACACGCTTGATGCACCAATTATGTCCACATATTGGGGTCTCATTGTACTTTTGATTCTAATGCCCCCACTCTCAACTGTATAAATAATATGCAGAATCAAGGCAGGAGGGACATATAATAAATGACAAGGCTGTAAAAACCTAATCTGGCATGTCTTGATTTATGTAATTCCTTCTTTGAACAACTCACGTTATGTCAGCATTTGGATGCAGCCCAAACACTTCAGGAGAGTCATTGGATGGCAACATGTTGATGTATTCCAGGTAACCAACGGTGGTCTTGCATCTGGGAATGTGGTATCCCTTGTAGAAGCAAAAATCACTGGCAAATAAGTGTTCTGTGAACCATTCCTCAGCAAATGTCCTCAAGAGATGATGATCAAAATCATCTGTGACTCTCCCACCATATTGCACTTGTCCCAACATGTAGCAAATTGTAGTCCATGACACTCCCTTAGGAAGTTTGTTGAAGGTTTTATTATTTTTTTAAATTTTATTATAAAATCAAACTGATGGTACCTTTTTAGGGTCCATGTCATCCAGGTGGTTCTGTATAAACTGCACAGAAGCCATGAAATCTGCTTGGTTAAAGTCATAAGGTATGTTCCAACCCAATGGTCCATACTTTCTTCTCTCCTACAAATAAACATATTTAAGCAAATTCAACATACCTATCAAAAAGAGAATGTGTTCTCAAACCAGGACTGTGGTATGCAGAAATGCCACTGCATACAACAAAGGCTGCCATTGTGGTGCATTGGAGTACTCCAAGAAGTCCTGATTGATGCTGTTGTAGGTTCTCTTCAAACTTGCTTTAATTCCTTGAGGAGGCTCATTGGTAAACTTGATTGACATCTGATTGAAAAGACAGAACCAGAATTGTAATGATACATTCAATAAATAATGACCCATTAATGATCACCTGCAGCAGGCCAATGGGGAATTGAGGATGGTACTCAGTGGTGATCCAAATCCTGAAGTTAGTATTGATCCCAAAACTTTCAGAAACTGCATCCAGTACTTCCCCACAGAATGGCAATGACAAGTGGCAATTTTGCAACAGAAGCCAATCACCAGTTTGCATGCAATCATGCAACAACTTTCTAGCTGGGATTTCTTGTCCTTGTCCCATTGATATTGACCTCAAAGCTGAATTGTCACAATGGAAAAAATAGTAAATTTTAAGGGAAAACTTGATAGAGTAAATAAATGCAAGACCCACTGAATTCTTTGGATTTGGCTAAGCTTTCAATGGAGGTGGTTGGATCTGCTCCAAGTGCCAAGAAACAGACCAGTGGAGTGTTTGGATCACTTTCATTGCACATATGCTCCAAGTCCAAGATTGGTGGTTCTTCATACTCAGGTCCCAATGATTCTAAAAAAAAAATTAGTCAATTTTTAAATGTAGGAAAACACAGTATTGTTCTCCACTTCAGAGCAATGCCAGGATTCTTCCATTTTACTGAAGATTTCCTTCAAACCTATAATTTGAGAAAACATCCCCGATTCTAGCATTTTCTTGATTCTATTTTTTTCTGTAAAATAAGCTATTATTCATCATTGGGTTAAGATATACTTTGTGACTTCAAACAAGCAGACTTCATGACTAATGTGCAGTTCACAAAAAACCAACTGCATGTCACAGGCAAAAGGAAGGTACAATTAGGTTGCTTTAATAAATGCACAGCTTAACAATAACTTGAAAGGAACTGTACTGTACCACCATCAGCTAAAAGTTGGCACAGGGTAATATTAAAAAAAAAGGTATGGGAAATTGGGACCATTTCAGTTCAACCCACATAATTCAAATAAGCATGGGTTTTTATAGTTTTGCCAAACTTGACAGAAGCTTTTTTACTACAGGAAAGTAATGTAATTTGAGAAAATATCCTGGCATTGCCATCAGACATTCAGAGGATTGAGGGATGTCTGACCAACAATGTATCTCTTGGCCTGGGACAATGTCCTATCAGGACACCAAGACCTGATCAAAAGAAGTCTTTTGAAAGTGTCCAAAGACACACTATATCCACAAGGAAGTTCCTCTTGCTCAGGTGCTTCACTTTCCCACCAGACTCTCCATTCTTTTTCATTTTCACCAACCTGTGGGATTCAAAAGCTGTAGATCTTGCCTTGAAACATAAAATTCAATTGTCACACTTGTTTCAAGATGTCATGAAACTCAGTGAGCTTACTGAGCTGCACCAAGTTCAGCCAAGTGACATCAAGGATCCACTTGAATGGCTTGGGAGTGACTGCTTTCAAGTCCAATGATGCTCCACCTGGTGAAACATTCCATCAGTATCTTGTTTAAAAATGAAAAAAAAAACAGAAAATGTACCTTTAATAAAGGTTGAGAATTCCTCATGAGTGAGGTTTCCATGTTGGAGGTCAATCTTGAAAGCCAACAGCAATGTGAAGAGAAATTTATGTCTTTCATAGAAACCCCTTGAGGCATGTTTCCAGACAGAGTGGGTCAAGTAGTCAATGATGTTTTTGATCCTCTCCTTAGTATTGGTTGTGCGCTGTGACCTTTTATCAATGATCCAAACAAGTTTTTAGGTAGAGTTATAAACTTTCTTGAAGGTAACTGTATCATCATAATTCAAATGAGTTGAATTGAAAATAAGGAGCTGCCTATGGTTGCCTCAGCTAGGAAAATGTTGAACAAAAATATCCAACAATAATACACAGTGATGCCTCAGGCTAATTGAAAAAATTTTTAGAACTCAAAAGTTTTTATTTGGATTGATTTGATGTTCATATATTATAATGACAAATGATAAAATGTGATAAAAGATGTTGATGATAAATTTTATGGAAATGAAAGTTGCCTTTTATCCTAATAACACTTCAGACAAATTTTCACAAGCTAAAATAAATTATTTTAATTTTTCATTCTGAGAAACCTTTCTTCAAGCCCACCTTTCAAATTTTTGGTGGCATTCAGCTACAGATGCTTCATTGTCACTTGAATTAATTTGTGCAAAAAAGCAGGAACTTTCAAATACCTGCCATTAAGTCTTCCAAGCAAAACTTTTGTGAGTCTGCAAAAATTCTATGAGAACATGCAGGAGCGCAAAATTTTCTAAATGGAAATTTACTGGTCTGCAGGCCAAAAAAAGGTTGGGGAACACTGGTTTAGATCATTGATGGAATGTGTTGAAGGTGCAGCTGTTATACTGACTTGGCCATTGAAAGCTCAAAGAGCATCAGGAATTGCCTCAGGGAGGTTTGATACATAGAATTCACAGAGCTCATTTCAACAATGAGAAAATAAAGAATGGATCCTCTGGCAGCAACTGGGCGGAATTCTTCCCTGACAGCATTAATTTTTGCTTCAGTTTCAGCAGCCACTTGAAGTTTCTGAGATACTTCTTGGGCAGTGGCTTTGGTGTCAGCCAGCACCAGGATCAAATCTTCATCATCCACCAAAGACCCCTAATCAAAAGTAAATTTATGCCCAGTTCCTTTGACCCAGATTCCCTAAAAAAAAACTTACTTGAATGGAAGTCAATCTGTAGAGCAAATTGTCTTCTAAATTCTTAATAGCCTTTTTGTTTTCCATGACATCTTCAAGCAGCTGCACTCTCTCAGCTTCCAGGTCACTTTTCTCTGTCAAAATTACTCTGCCTGTGGATATATGAACACTCAATTTGAAATTTATCTTGTCAACAGCAATGGAATTTCAAGCTTTACCCAGGAGCTGGTCCTCCAAGCCCTTCAAGGTAACTGTGAAGTCAATCATTGAGGTCTTGGCACTGATTTCTGGTGTGTAAGCTGGGTTTGGTAACTTGGTGGTGATGTAGACCATGAAGCCAGCCATAATGTCAAACTCTTTATCACCAATAAGCACCTATATTAAAAACACTTCCTCATGAGTTTCATCTATTTGATGAAGTAAAACTGGGCATGGATTAACCTTTTCAATTGTTCCAGATTTGATAAAATTCTTCTCCAGAAGGTTATCAAGAATTGGGTCCAGTTCTTCACCAATGTCCTCTATCAATAGAGGTCTTCCCAAGGACAGGGAATCTTCCAAATGTGTCCTGAAGTATTTGTGATTCAAGGACGTAATCTAGAAAAGAGTCTTGAGTGATGAAAAGCTTTTTTTTCTGAATTTATGGATCATCTCTGCCAAAACCTGAAGTTCATTGATGGATTCCCTGTTCTTGATCCACTGTTTACCTTGACCCTGGGGGTCAATGAGCAGAGGGTAACAAGCAGCCTTGGTGGATATAATGGCATTTTGAACTGATAGCTCATCACTAGGCAGCCCTTGTAGATTCCACTCAGCAATCTTCAAGTTAAAACATATAATCATAAAATAATTTTTTTCTTGAATATTTCATGAATTACTGTTGGGTTGTCAACAAGCATGTTGATGATGTTGAGATCATCAGACATGGGCAAAGTGTGCATTTTAACATTGTCCTTCCATGTGGTCATCAACTTCAGCCTGTATTCCTGGTTGAATGGGCCTGCATAGGACAGGAAAGCTGTTGCCAACAGCACATCTCCAACAAGTCTGAAAAATATACACAAGATGTCACATTTAATGTTCAAAGTATGTCTGATATCAGTGCATAGTCCAAAATTTACTCTAAATGAGTAACCTCATCAGAATAAGGGTAATTCAGAAGATTGGATTATTTCAATAGATTTTGAAAACAATTTCTCATCCTTAACATTTATAACTTCATTTTATTTCCATGGATAGTGAAAGAAATAAAAAGACTAGGATTAAATCATGTGTTACCTCATTTGAGGTTATAGAATTTGTGATTTCTCAAATTCTAAGTGAGCCAAAAGTCAAACCATCTCCAAATATATTGCCCAAGACTCAAGAACTGAAGGTTCATGAGGTGCAACACAAATTTTAAAAAGGACACAGTTTTTACTTAATTTCTGAACTGTGGAAGAAAACAATCTTTTAAAATATTATGTTTTGCATACTTTCCAATTTGTTCTTTGAACATCCTGCTTTGCTTGGTCCACCTCAATTTCTCTCCAGCCAATCCATTTATGAGAGTTTCAGCAGCCTGCATCTTTCTTCTGCAGGCTGAAGCAGCTTCTTGGAGTCTTTCTCTTTCAGAGACAGCTGTGGCATACTGATCCCTGACTTCTGCCAACTCATTTTGTTTCTGAGTCAATTCATTCTCAGCCTTTTCCAACTCTTTGTTGGCCTGAGATAGGCGTGCTTCCTGAAGGGCCAAGTTTGCCTAAATACAAAGTGGTTAGACAGGGTAATATAAAGACAAAAAAGCATCCAAAAATTTTATCAGTGTATAGTTTTGCATCAAAGTGTGTACATGATTTGATTCATATGGATAACTTTGGTTTGGTGTCTTTGTTGACTTATGAACAGAATTTCGCATACAGTGCTTGAAACTGCCATTTGGCACAGAGTTTTCCCAATTTGACTTCTTTTGACTTTTGAGTCATACTTTTCTGGTTCTTCATCACAGAGGTAATTCATATTTGTTTGCATTACTTCAGCTCATGAAGAAAACATACCTTTAATGGAAGGACTTCTTTGTTCACTCCAAAAAAAAATGCCATGGCCTTTGTCCATGAAAGCAGTCCAGCAACATCACCACAAACCCTTTGGGCAGTTTCCATATTGTAATCCTCTGCTTCCAAGTAGGTTTCCAGTAATTCAACCATTTCATCATTGATTGTGTCCTTTGGGAAAGTCTGGAGTTGGGTGAGGAATGTTGCACTTGCCATCATCTGAAAATACAGACATCTTTGTGTTCCAGTGCTTACAAAATAGGATATTATGTAGAAACCTTCAGTGATTCACCCCAAGAGGGCTTCTGGAAATTGACTCCTGTTGGATCTGGGGCAACTGGATGAAGCTTTCTCCTGAACAAGATTAAGACTGCATCCATGATCCTCATGATGAGATGTGGAGGTCTACCAAGTTTCCTTACAGTAGCTGGAATTAAAGGTCAAAAATGTGATGAACGCAACCATAGCTTAAAATTATGCCAACATGAAAAATCACCTTCCAGTAATCAATTTCAAAATTTCAGTCTGAAGCAGTTTCTAGGTTGCTTCTTCCTTGGAATTATTTCTATCATTTTAGAAAGAGACCCACTTTTATTTTATTTATTTATATTAAAAAGAAACTTATTTATACCAATGTGAGCAGGCTTGATGGTATTCAAAGCAGATTCAGCTTCCTCCAGAGCAGGTCTTGCAGCTTCTAGCTTCTCTTCAGCCAGTGCTTTATCCACAGCAATAACATCAACTAAAGCCTGGGCATCATCCTTTTTCCCTTGGACTTGATTTCTTATCTGCTCTGCTTCTTTGGCTCTTTCAGTAACTTCTGTCAAAACCTGCATCATTTTGAGCAAGTAAATTGAGTATAATGATGTACAGTATTTTCAATAAAAGCACTGAATCATCAGGCTTGCCTTTTCAGCTTTGTCTGATGCTTGTGCCAATTCTTGTTCCATGACAAAAAGCTCCTCTTTCAACTTAGACACAGACTCAGAGGCTTCTTGCAATTTAGCCAACCCAGAATTCATCCTCTCTGCTAATTCTCCTATTTCCTCTCTTTTCTGAGCATAAATATTTTTGTAAGAATTGAGGAAGGACAAGTAAGACTTTGGTGTCACATGCGCTGCTCTCCTGAACCTGAAAATGTTATGAAGATTTCTTCACACATGTTTCTGCAATTAAAGAATTTAGGTGAATACCTTTGGAAGTATTCTGAACAGTAGAAGGAAACAATGTCTTGCATTGTGCCCATTGCTTTCACCAAGTTCCCTTTTACTGCAGCTGTGCAAACCACTTCAAAATGGCTCAAATAATGCTGAGCCACTGCAACCAATGCATCTTTTGGCCAAGGCTGGAACCAGTCAATGGTGCACCCAGAAAATAATCCAGGGAATTTGTTCGCCCTGTTTCTAAATTTCTCACCCACCTTGAAAATGTGTAACACATAATCAGTGATTGTTTTTCAGATATGAAAATTTGAGTGCAGTAAAACTCCAGCTCTCCAACTTCAATTGAACTTACATGCACTTAAATTGGAATACATTTTCATGAAAGAATATACAGGTGGTACCGTGCAATGTGACCTCCTGCAATTCAACTGTCTCACAATTTGAAGGTCAAATTTGCAGAGAGGTTGACTTTTACTTTGACCCTTGCCACAACATTTCTTTGGCCAATTTTTGTTTGCTTTTGTACTGACATTTTTGAATTTTCAAAAAGTGTCTCAACATGTGACTGATTCACAATTTTACCCTAATTTGGCAACAGATTAGGGATAAATTGTGAGGTACCACATGTACAAGAAAGGCATGTGGCAGAAATTAAGTTTGACTTGAGCCACTGCATTTTCCTCTGAATGAATTGAAAATGGATTTTTATTCCCTTCTTTACTTGTGGAATCATCACAATATTATTGAAACAATATTTTAATAATTATGATGCAGTACTTTATTGGGGTGTTAAATATTACCAGGTCATTGGGCCAATTAAAGTGGAGTTCTACTGCATCCAATACTTACAGGTGAGAAGCAGAGAACAACATGTAAATTTTGTCTGACTCTGGACACAAAGAAGTCCATGACATTTTCAGGGGTTGGAGGTCTTCTTGGATGCTCCCTCTTCATTATTGGAATCAGCTCCATGATAATCTCACTTTGTTCATCTCTGTTGAATAGGTTGGACACTACTCCAGAAGATAGCACATTATTCAGATACTCCAAAAACCCTTCATCCTTAACATCCTGATCTGTAAAGATGAATGTAGTTCCTTTTCCTTGTATCCCACATGTTCTGTACAGAACCTTGAGGTCTTCCAAGAAATTGTTGGCATTGTAGGATCTGCAAGGATGATGATGGTTTGGATAAGCCATTTTGGATGGGCATTGAAAACATACCTTGTCAAGGTGATCTGAAAAGTTTTGTAGCCAGCTATGAATGAGGCAAGTTTCGTCAAGGACTGCTTTCCAGATCCACCAACTCCCACTAGCAAAGCATTGCCACCAGGATTTCTTATGATTCTTGAAATCTAACAAAAAAAATCATCAGCAGTTGAGTAAAGTAAACAATTGGTCAGTTTTTGTACCTTCACTATGTGAATGATGGCATCCATGAAGAATACCAAGTCCATTCCAGTCCCTCTAACCATTTCATTGTGCTGACTCAGGAACATTTGCAAGCGCTCATTAAGTGACACAAAATCTGTTATGGGCTCATAAACTTTGGGCATTTCCATGTCTGTGTCTTCTGTTTCATCCCCTGTGGGCTCTGGGGCATCTCTGAAAACTCAAAATTTACTTGAAATTTGTGAATTTCATCTTTAGTTTTCAAATGGAACTGACCTGAGGAAGTCCACAAAGTACTGAGATTCATCAATCATCTCAACATGCTGATCCCCCAGCTCCTTTTTCACCAGACTAGATATGGTATTGTCAAACCATTGTTGGTCCTCCACAGTGATGAATCTGAAGTTGATAGCAATTGAAAATCTTCATAATCTCACCTGTCATGAATGCTGCTTTTCTAACCTGTCAGCAATAACTCTGGTGCATTCATGCTTCCACAAGCTGAGTAAAACTTGTTCACTGGTGATGACTGTTGGTAAAGTGCCAATCATTCCTTGCCAAATCCTGCTCAAGTCTCTGAGGTTGAAGACATAGTGGAACTTTGCTGGAGTTGGTAACATAATTGTCTAAAGAAAAAAACATTTTAATAGAGGCCACAAGAGTCATTTCAAACACACAGTATGTAGTTGCTTCAGTCCTGTATGAACCATAAGTAAATCTTAAAAACTATGTGCAAACAGCAATGGGTGGGTGTATGCGGCATACGTGTAGGATGTCCAGTTTTATTTTGTGGAGTGTGTTCTCTTTTGTTTTTGTCATTTGTTTGTGCTTTGTTTCATGCTTTGAAGGGATTGAATGTCTTTGGGGGGAGTTGGGTTGGGTGGGGAGGGGGTTTGGATGCA